GAAGAAGGTGGCGGAACGGACCCTTGTCTACAAGTTGAAAGGCCTGCATGTATAAGTGTCTTAAAATGATATTAAGAATGAAAGTTGCTCACCTCATCCTCGGCAACAATAAGTTCAACAATGTAGTCCATAAGTCCAGACTTTGTGAATACTGGTATCTTGGGAGGGAGAGATGCGTCCAAAGTTTCCTGACTGGTTGTAAAGGTCAATGAAAGGAGAAGAAAACAACAAGAAAAATAACATACGCTACGGTCCCGATAAACTGGGAAGTGGCACTTGGGATTGCCCACAATGTGCGTGCGTCAAGTCGAGATACCACCTTTAAAGAAACACTGGTGTAGAATGACATTGTTGGCCTTGCACACCTCACACCACCACCCATTTTCAAGCTCCTGGGTGTGGGGATTAAGACGGCCTTTCTCAAAAGTGAAGACTGTCCTTAAGTCAGCGCTGCGTTCGTCCTTCTTGAGAGATTTGCGGTCTTCGTGATCCTGGTCGCCAAGCTTCTTTGTCTGTTGGTAAGCCTCTTCTTTCTCAGCACTCTCGGCATCCTCTTCCTCATCATCTGTAACATCTTCGAGTGCGGGTGCATCTTCATTGTCGTCATAGTCGTCCTCTTGGCTAACGAACACTCGTTTGGGTGCAGGGACACCTTGGGGAGGTTCTGGAGCTGACCATTTGGCTGAGGTACTGCTGGCAACCAGAGTCTTGCGTATCTTCTCTGTGGGTTTGACAGCGTGACCAGAACGACGGACAAATGAGTTGAGAGTGCCATTGTTGGCGGGAGCAGGGGGAGGAACCATTGGGGTGTCATCTTCAGCATCATTGTACCACTGAATGTCACTGGCGTCTTTCAACGACCGTCAGCGCGACGTGCAGAGGACTCAGACATAGCAGCAGGAGGCATAAATGTCCCTAGGTACCAAGTGAATATATTTAAAACTAGTTTTAAAACTGTTGCGCACCATGAACCACCAAAACGAGAACCCATGGCAGATGGCGAGTATGGTGAATCACAACAGTAGGTATGTTCTGAGATAAATTGCATTATAAGTTAATTGGGACAGACAGTAGAATTGTTGCGAACTCACTGGCACCTGAATGAGTTGCTGCATTACCAAAGTTGCTGAGAGATCACCTTGCCTACTAGAACGCAGGAGAAGTAGGAGAAGATGGTGAACAGAAGGGCAAGGACAATACTTAAACAGAAAGCCTCACCAAAAACATGAGGCTTCGACTTCGAAAAGTCATGAGGTTCAAACCGGTCCAGATGTGTTCAGAACCGGTCCAGATTTATCAACGACACACCGAACCCCAAACTTACCAAGGGGTTCGGTCCAACAGAAAGTCTGGACCTGTGACCGAACCATGGGTCTTGTCCGCAAAGGTTCGGATTCGAACCTAGGTTCTGGACCGAACTGCGGCAGCACTACATTTAGCAGGTAGTATCTTTGGATGAGCATATTTCATTAAAATAACTATCTAGACCAATTCTACAGTAGTGAAAACACCCCCTTTATGGTCCTCACCAAATGATTCTATGAGCTTTTGAGGCCGCTGGTGAGAAACTCAAAACACATCGCTCGTAACTTCATCTAGTTATATATTAAGGTTTTTTTGCTTATCTAAAGTCGAGCTCTGTGTTCGGGATTTCCCTTTTACACACCTCTTGGATCAATGTTACACGAAAACTTAACTTATCCGGAAACCAGTACTTTTTAATATTTATAGGGTCCCGTTGGATAGCTGCTCAAGTTCACCGGTAGACATGGAGATTAGTAGTACCCGTGAACGTTCACCGACTTTTGTGAACCTTCGGCGACCGGCAGAACACTGTCAGGTGAGGAGACAAACTCACACGGTTGGGAACTCTCTTTGACGTTCACAGACAGTGTCCTGGCCGGGGTACCAACGTTGAGCCTAGAAGTTCATCAAATGATATTGTTGCAGCGCTTTGCGGATAAATGCTTGAAAGGCGAAACTGATTGCATGTAATACCCCTTGCTGCGTGTCGGGTCACCCATAAATAGGATGCTGTGGCTAACATTTGACGTGAGGTAACGATCATAAGGGCAAGGGTAAAGGTTCTATACGTAAATATCATCCCTGTCTTAATGTCAGCAACACCATCACCACCACCACCCTTGCCACCCTTGCCATCGAACCTACTGCCGACACCACCACCGCCCGTCCCACCCCTTCCATTAGAATATCTAAGAGATCGATCAAAGTCACCTTTGCCTGCACCTCGTCCACATCATCCGCACAACGTGGGTGTTTTCTATTCATTACATCCCTAAGTTGACCGTTTCTATTACATACTAGATGGTTGGATTGGACAATGCCGTGTCTACTTATGGTTCTCCTCAGAACTTCCATCAGCCTCCATCTAACCCAGGTTTTACTCCACGTAGAGCTTCACCTCCTCGGAATATTGTAAACCCCACTGGCTTTCCTCCACCACAACCTCCGATGTCACCTCCTTCACGTGTTCAAAGTCAGAGTGCCATTCCCAGTCTCACAGCCCCTATCCCAACCATACAATCTCTCTCCATCGCACTCCCTACAATACAACAACCTGCTCACGATCCTGCTCTCAAACTCGCTTGGGCCCGTGACGTTCTTCTTCTCGTAGATCGCACTCAGCATCCTAGCGTAACTGACATCCCGCCGGGTCCAGTCACAATCACTGATCCACAACTACAACGTCTCCTCGCAACCGCAATCCCTCTCATACAACACCTTGCAAACATAAATCATCAACCACTTCCTCTATTCGCAGCTGAAGCAATCTACCTCCGTGCTACCCTCGAATCAAGTGGCGCTTACCCAGATCGCATCCCACACAATCCCCGTCAGGCATTCCGCGATTTCGAAGCTGCTGCACGTGCTGGTTACGCCGCTGCATGGTTCCGTCTAGGACGTGATTACGAAAACTTCAACGATGCAGTCCATGCCAAGGACTGTTTCGAACGAGGCGCAAAGTTGGGCGTCGAAAGTTGTGTTTATGTGCGTCTCTCAGTTGCTTTTCTCTCTCATTTCTCACCAGCGAATAGCGTATGGGAATGGCACATTTACTGGGTCAGCTAGGTCTCCCTCCAAACCCTGCTGCTGCCCTTCCATTTTTGCAGCGTGCAGCTACACTTGCCAGTACTACCACTCCTCAACCCGCCTATGTCTACGCCCTTCTTCTCCTCGGCGAATTCTCCGCTGCTTCGTTACCTTCTTCTCTCCTCCCTCAACCACACATCGCTCAGTCAGAGGCCCGCCGCCACCTCGAGCGTGCAGCCTACCTTGGTTTCGCACCCGCACAATACAAGCTCGGCCACGCTTACGAATTTGCCAGTCCTCCCTTCTCCTTTGACGCATTGCTCAGCGTCCAGTATTACTCTCTGGCAAGTCAGCAAGGCGAAGTCGAGGCTGACATGGCTCTCAGCAAGTGGTTCTTGTGCGGTGCAGAAGGCGCTTTCGACAAGGACGAAAGTCTCGCCTTCACCTTTGCAGAAAAAGCCGCAAGGCGCGGGTTACCAAGCGCTGAATTCGCGATGGGGTATTATAAAGAGGTCGGTGTGGGCGGTGAAAAGGATATACAGGAATCGATGAAGTGGTACTCCCTCGTATGTTTTCTTTCCATCTTCATTGATTATTGCTCACATGTCCTCAGGCTGCTGAACATGGAAACACAGATGCTGTAGAACGTATCGCAGCCCTTAACCAAGTTGTTCCTCAAGCCCTTTCACGACAAGAGCACGACACCATCACAGAAGCCCAGCTCGTGCGCAAGCGCACTCAGGCACGGGAACGATCAAGTACACAGCCACGCATGAGCGCCGAAGATGGAAGACAGGTGATGGAAATGGCCAGAAAGAGCTCCATCGTGCGACAACAATCTCCACCGCAGGCGCCTGCGCACATAACATCGCTTGTTGAGAGTCCATCGCCTTCTGCTGTACCCCAGCAATTACCTTCACAACAACAACAACAACAACAACAGCCACAGAGGCAGTTTGTGGGCCAGCATCGGTACACGCTTGTTGATCCTGGATCTGGTGCGCCGCCATCGCGTCAGCAGTCACCGTCACAGCAACCACAGCCTACCTATGCAAGAGCGGCTGGGAGACCGCCTGGTCAGAGGCAGGGGTCGGGGCCGCCACAGGGACAGTCACCGCAGGGGCAGCCATCACAGGCTCATGTCACACCGGGCGATAGAGCTCCTACTCCTCAAGGGGCTACACGTACCCCCGGTACAAAACCCCCCACAACATTTGCAGAGATGGGAATTCAAGGTGTAAAATTGGAGGAAAAGGAGTGTATGATTATGTAGGTGCATCTATAAATGCATACCATTTCTGTTTGTTTTTCGAACCCTTTTCTTATTTCTGGCGATGTTTCATTTGTCAGCTGTTTACGTGGATTGCGGATGTAATGGCTAGATGTCATGTTTTCGTTTATACATGGTGTAATCATATCATGCGCATTATTGGCTGTGTAGTCTCATGCTGCGGTGATCAGTGCTGCGGGATCCATAAAATTTTCATTAACTGTGCACCTAGGTCCCCACCATACATTTGATTGATGGCCGTCTAGGTAGTACGCGGACTCCTGGGACATGACAGTTTAGATGGTCAAATAAGCAAGCCAGGTCAACGCCAGTAGCAAGAGAAAATGTCCCCGTTTCGTAGCATAAGAGTGGAAGCAAGACCCTAGATGATCCATCATGCATCATGCATCAATAGGGAACTGAATCCTACAAAGAACGTGCTAACGTATACCTATCTTCCATACTAATCAATAATCTGTCGATGGTAAAAAAAAGTTAGTGTATGGTCATCAGTAATGTATGCAAAGGGGGAAGGGAAGCGCGAGTGTCTGATATACCAGTGCAAGGATCGTGTGTAACGTGAAAGTGCAAAATCAAAACATGTCGACTTGAGAGCAAATCACGGTGGTATCAAAAAAAGCCCACAGAAAAGAGACTGTCCCATTCATCTTTTGTTATATCAAAGGTCAGCACCAACGGCGTCCACGACGTACAGAACCTGTTGCGGTCGGACAAACAGTCCCCTGGATTCGGATGTCGACAGGTCGGATGCTGCAGGCGACGAGCTTCGCATCCGCTTCGTGCGGTCAACGCCCACGGTCAACTGATCTCCTTCTCGTTTCAGTCCGCGATTATCCCTCCCTGATCCGTTCATCCAGTCCACCTTTCGCCGTCTGTGCGTCTGATAATCATCTGCGCCAAACTCCCACTCTGACCCATTACTCCCAATATCGAAATAACGGATGCCGCCCCAGGACCCATCATTCCACTGACGGCCGTCTGAGGGGTCACCGACCCAGGCCTCCAGTGGTACTTCGATGCCGACCCAGGGTCCGAGCTCGCCCTCGACTTCACCGATGTACCGTGCGAATGCCTTGAAACGTTTGCGCTTCGATGACACTATGCACGGAATGCCAACATCGAGCGTCGCACCGCGAAGATGAACTAGAATGTTTGCCTCCTCGGGGGAGGCAGATGATTGTTCGGGAGTCCGTACGCTTGTGGTGATCGTGTCTGATGACCCGCGGCGGGTGAGTGCTGGAGGAGAGTCTGCCGCAGGAGAGGTCCCATCTTGTGTCGGAGAGTTGGTACAATCATCAAGCTTGATCGTCTCGCGATCCTTGCCCTTGTCGAGGTCGCTAAGCGTAATGCAAGGTGATTTTTGAGAGTGGTTCTCGATGACTCTGCTTAGCGGCTTCCTTTGTGAGGGAGTGGTGGTTTTGGCGGGTGTACGCTTGGAGGGGGTCAGCTTGGTAAATTCGGATGCTCCGCGGCGGATGGATGTTCGTGTGGCGACGGCAGAGGTCGTCGTCGTGGAAGTGGATGCAGTAGATGACAATCTTTCTCTCACAGGAGTGCCTCTGTTCGTCCCTACGGTCCTCGCGCTTACATTTGATATTGTGGATCCTCCAGACACTTTCCTTGAGCGAGGCGTGATGATTTCAGAGGGAGCAGTCCTGAACGTAGCATCGCTTATCGCACTTGACAAACTCGAATTCGGGCGGGGGGCAGATGGAATACGGAGCGTGGACTCTCTTGCGGAAGAACGGACAGCGGAAACACGTGAACGCACCGAGGGTGCAATCGATTTTGGCTTTGGAGAAGGTGTATAAGAAGTGATAATTTTACTCAGCGCGGGTTTGGTCCCGTTTGGCGTGGGACTGACATTGCCTGTACGAGCTGAGGATGTTTTGCGCTGCATAGCCTTCTCTGTCGTACTCGATCGTACAGATACGAGACTCTGCGACTCAGGCGTGAGTTTAGAGTCAGGTCGTACATCGTTAGACTTTGGAGTCCCAGCATTGCGTGGAGACGAACGCCCAATGGTGCGCACGCTCACCGCGGATGATGCCGTTGTAACTTCACGGGTATGTTTGTGAGGGTTGTTGATATTACGGCTCAGTACAGACGCGCGCAGCGAATGCACACTAAGTGTATCCGAGTCCGCATCTCCAGCTACGGATGACTTGCGGAAGGCAGTGCGTCGGAGGTGCGAGGGTTGAGCAGGTGATACGAGGTCTTCAACAGAGACTTCCAGTTCTGATGAAGATACAAGCAGTGTCAGGCATCAGATAATAAGACGAGTACATAAAGCGTACCCTGAGAGATCTCTTTGATGGCCCAGCCCTCAAGACCATCGAAACCACCCTGCTGACGGGTGCCCATCCAACGCTTTCGGATGTACCGGATGAGATCTGCACGAGCGTCCTCAACTTGGACGCGGATGTGCGAGGTGGCGGAGAGCATGGCAGCATCCTCATCTGTCGGGTGTGGTCGTAGGAGGATATTCACAAGGCTCTAATCGCATATTAGCATCATGCATGAATTGACCTCACCTCAACCCGCACCTGATACATTGTTCCAGCGTGTTTCTCAACCATTCCCCGTTTAATAGCCTCCATCACCCATGCAACCCTCTCGCCATCATCAAACCTCTCGCCATCTGCCTCCATGACCTGTAGCCAGTCATCCTGTTCGAAACACTCGACACTTTGACTCACAAGGCACTCGTCAATCGTCTTCCGCGCCTGCAGGACCATCTCCCGCGACGTATCTGCCCAGGCATCAATGACAGAGTCAAGTTTTTTTATCGCGTGCTGTGCGGCAAATAATAAGGGAAATATGTTCATCGGCGTCGTCCGCTTTGCGAGACCCTTTAGCAAGTTTTCCCGAATCTTCAGTGGAAGCGATGCGAATTCAGAGATGCACCAGCCTTCCCCGAACAGGCCTACAAGCGCCCGTCGCGCGCCCCGTTCCAAGTAAGTGTTCTTGACATCGTCTGCAAGCGCAAATTCGAGTACACGCGGTGCTCGCCGGGCACACTGTCGGCACCGACACCCGCCAGTACCCCATTTGGACCCCGTGATACGCTCATATTCGTTGAATTCAAGTGATGCATGAAACAGCCCATGAATCATCTCGTACACGATACGGGCCTGTATTTCAGCGACCAGCCCGTCCAAAGATAGGTACGTCGCTGACTTGAGGATTGCGAATGCGGTGTCCAGGTCGTACGTTCGGTGAGAGAACACAAGGGTTCCCGTATAAATGTACCCCAGAGTAAAATGAAGTGAGGCGGGGGTAAAAGGAGGCGAGGGGAGCGTGACTGTAATTGGTTCCCCAGGCTTTGCCGGCTGAGCCCAGTTCAAGAGTTGCGCACGGAAGTAGGGGGAGCGAGACACGAGAATGAAGCGGTGAGAAGAAAAAATAGCGGTTGCTGGCTCGTGATTTGTCGAAGAAAATGTGCCAGATAGGGCAATGCGCACGTCAGAATAGAGACGAGATCGCCACATAAACACAAGGTCCTTGCGCAACTTGTCAACACGGTTCTCTTCTGCATCGACAAGCTCGCGCGACTCTGAGGTATCAAAGAGAAATTCAAACGCCTCTCCAAGTCCTTCGCCCGTATACAGATATTCCAACTCATTCGAAAACAGTGTTGTGCTACTAATGGCTGGTATGCGCATGACGGCATTGAGGTTGGTGGAGGCCGAAGGGGACGATGAACGGTACGGAGATGGAGAACGAGATGTATGGGCGTAGTCCAGAGTAAGACTCAAGGACATGGCGGACTGTGCTGGCGCTGGGGAAGGGCTGGTAGAGTAAGGAGTCGGGGAAGTGATGGGAGGGGGGCGGAATTGAAAGTAGCGTTGCTGGAAGGAAGGTGGTGCGCGTGCATAGACGATAGCTGAATGTTATTAGCAAAGAGATGACGAGCTAACTCTAGGCACACCTACCTTTGTGGCCCCACACTTCATCGGGATCATCGTCATTATCCTCGGACTGAAGTTCCCAAACGACATCTGCGAATCGATCCTTTGCCTGGTGAAAGAGATTAGTAAGATCATTACGCCAGACTTGTGTGGACTGTCTTGTTGCTTCCTGTACAGTATATGATGGCGTAGGACTAACATCGGCCATCGCCATCGCCAGCAGCGACGAATACGACAGCAATCAAATGGAAACAGTGGAGGACGCTCACAAAAGTTGCAAAGCACCAGAAACACGTGTGGTTAGGTAAGGTACTTACCAATTTTATGTAAAGAAAATGATATATTAATTCCAGTCAAGTACGAAGGCCATTAATGACCAACTCCAAATCAGAACAGCTCCTCCTCTTCGGGCTTCCAATTCTTCGCCTGATCCCAATACCCCGCCAATCTCTGCCCCAACACCTCCTTAGCCATCGCATCAGTAGGACACCCCTTAGGCTTAAATGTATTAAACGCCCGATCTCTAAGTTGACCCTCCCACACGAGATAACACGCATTGTTCTCGAGGGAGACAATTGCTTCGGGTTCTGCGGATTTTACAGGACCTCCAGGACCAACATCATTGAAAGCGGCGCCACTGTTTTCCGTGCCTTCTTCGCTGGCATTATCGAGAATCACATCATCCCCACCGCGCGGACGCGCAGCCTCGGTCCAAGCGATACGATGGAGCATTAAACGCTTATAGTTCTGAATGAACTTGGGAGCGCCTTCAACATATACCATACTAAAGGCCGGATTGAAAATGCACACGCCCGTTAAGTTGAGTTGCTCCGCGTTTTTGCGGACTTTGAAGCGGTGGGAGGGGTCTGTGAGCGTTTTGACCCTGTTGCATAAGTGAAGAGGTCAGCTTGGATAGGACCAACCAACGACGGGTACGCACTTGAAAACAGCCCCAATGATACCCTTCTTCTCCTGCTCAGATTTCTTATTCTCGATCTTCTCTCTCCGTTGTTCATCGGTGAGTTTACGTTCCGCGTTCGTCTTTTCATGCGTGTGTTTTCTCATTGCAACTTCTCTGCGCACGCGGGCTTCGACACGTGTGGGGTCTTGGACTGCGTCTGATGTCAAAACTTTCATCAGATTTGACAGGCGGACTGTGGGGCATGAGTCGTGAGCAAGGTCGAAAAGATTTGAAGCGGTCAAGACATGCCTTTGGGTGGGTCAGGCGGGATGAGACCCATACGGATACGATCGCGTTTATCTTGACGTTCGGCTTGACGACGTTGCTTTCGCATCTTCTTTGTCTCCTATAGTGCCATGTTAGATGATACGTTCCCATATGGCATACATACGGGCCTTTTTGGTCAACATAAGCGGTTTCAAGCCAATTTTGTGTTCTTCCATTGGAGCTGGGATGGGAATAGGGTGCTGGACGTACAAAGTGACTGGCGAATCCTGAGTTCGGATGTTGAGGTGAGAAAATCCGAGGGAAAGGTCCTCGTAGGTTTTGTCGGGCAGTAGAGCTGCGTCCCACCATTCCACTGTTGGGGGAGGTTCACGCTGGGAGCCATAGTTAGGGATGAAATGAACGGTTGAGTATACACGCACCTTGATGTTCTTCTCCAGAGTCTCGAACTCCGAATCAAGACCAGCTTTACGCGCGCTCTCGGCAATACGTTGCTTGAGTGCCTCGAGTTGCGCCTCCTGACGCATTTGTTCCGCGAGCTGTTGATACTTGCCCTGGGGATTGAACCGGAAAGTGCGACCATGGCGCTCCTTTGGCGCGCCTTCGAAACCACTGTCTTTGGCTGCGGTCGAGCTGGAAGCATAAGGGTTTGCTTTGACTTCGACAATGGGGACTGGAGTTGGCGCTGGGGGAGGGGTTGGGGCGTTTCGTATGTTTGCCTTGGAAAGGCGTCAGTTTCAACAGCATGCATGAGGAAGTCGTGCGCACCTTGATTGAAGCGAACTTAGGCTGCATTGGTTTGTATCGATCCTTCTTCGACTGTGGTGCAGCAGGAGCGGTATCAAGGAGAAGGGGATGAGCAGTCATCTTCAAGCCAGCGCCTTGCTGTGCTGGCTCAACAGGCTTGTTCTTCTTGCCAATTTGTGGTACCGACTAGACATATGATTTTAACAGCATCGTTAAAGAGTGAGAGGACTGACCATATACGGGTTGTCCTTGACGGCAAGCTTTGTCTGTGCCTCTGCCACACGGCGCTTGGCCTCCGCAACCTTGCGAGCGAGGTCTTCGGTGTTCTGAAGTGGTGTGCCTGAACCTGAAGAGGGACTGTCCATCTTGAGTGGTAGAACCTTTGCGAGGCCTGGTATACCGTCTTTCATGGCTGCTACCTTTGCAGCAATCTCTGCTCGTTTCTGGGCAATGAGAGCATCTCCAGATAGCTGCTGCGAAATAAATGAGTGATTGAATAAACTTGAGAGATAGATGCACTGACAGCTGCTAGGGCGCTGCTTCCATTAGAGTGAGTCTGTAAGGAGCAAATGGTTATAGAGACATGTGAGAACGATGTAGCAGGTGAATTCACCTTGAAGAAAGGAAAGTTAGACTCACAAGATCACTAGAGACAAGACATGAGCCGGCTAAACAAGGGTACTAGCAGGACTGACTGACCTTTTTTGTTTTTTTGTTGATGGAGATTCACCATTGCCGTCGAACACTCGCTTGCTCATCGTTCGTGGTGGCAAGCAGAAGCAGTACGCTCAGGTCAGTATCACTTCACTCAACTTAACCCCCTTTAGAGGGGGCTACAGATAATTACCAGAAGTAGAGGTGAAAAAGGCATTCCTGGGAATCTGCAACTGGCATGTAATATGCAAAATGCTCAAAGCACCTCAATGTGCTACTTAAATCACCTTGAAAAAGTTCAGGTGCATGTAGGCTATCTAGAGATAATATACTGTCCAAGTAGAATAAAAATTTCTTGAATGTTGCAGCTGCGAGAGACATATAATTATAAATGATCCAGATCCCAGATCTTAGAGATATTCAACCAAGAGGTGTGCGTTCGCAAAATCCCGAACACAGAGCTCAACTTTAGATAAGCAAAAAAACCTTAATACATAGCCACATGAAGTTACGAGCGACACATTTTGAGTTCCTCGCCAGCGGCCTCAAATCATCGTAAAATTGTTTGGCGAGTACCGTAAAGGGGGTGTTTTGACTACTGTAGAATAGGTCTAGATAATTATTTTAATGAAACATGCCCATCCAAAGATACTACCCGCTAAACGAGACATCTTGGATGTGATTTTTGAGGACACGTGACTAAGGTGCCATTTGGACAGCGAATTCCATTTTCAAATTTCGGATTCATGGTCACATGCAACATAATTATATAAGCTGGGTTACCGTATCAGGTTCCAATAGGATAACGATCATCAGTGCTGTATGATGACCATGCCAGCTGCTACCCTACAACAACTTGACTACAATGGACCACTTGGGATGGTGCAATGAGGGCGTATACAACACCTGATGTTTATTCTAGTTGCTGTTGTTGCCCAGGCCCTCATAGACTATCAGACACACTTCCTAACTAGTGATGTGCACAGCTCGGCTTGAGGCCCTAGGCCTAAGTCACAGCCTGAGAAAGGCTTGGGCCTGGGCTTGAATTTTGAAAAGCCTGAGCCGGCAGCCTAAGCCGTGGCTTAGGCATGTTCAGTGGCACTGCCATAGAAGCCTCACCGGAGGTACATTTTCCGACTCTATTTTTGTCTTTTCGACCTTCTGACTTCCATCACTCTTATCAGCTTCGACGGTCCATATGTCGCAGTGAGTTGCCATGTCTTATTTGTGCTTCAGTTGGTTGATGTTACTCACATTGTAGTTGAAAAGCCTACTCTGTCCAACATATCCAGCAATTTACCCTCCTTTGACGCCTTTTCTCTTGTGTGTTGCTATGCAAAAGCCATGGTGAGCTGCCAGCGCTATGTCTTGTGCTTTGTGAGCTTGACATAACTCACTCCGCTGTCGGCAAACTAGATCTCAACTGCACAAGCCAATAGTTTTGGTAATTTTGAAGCCTTATGTGCTTCACCTTCGCAAGTGTGATTGTCCACCCAATATCTTTCAATTGATTTATGTTGGTATGTGTCCCTCTAATATCCCAACTACCTGCTACCTACCTATGATGAGCACAGAAATCGAGCACTGTGTTGCGCGTCCTGTACGCAAAACCAAACCTACAGCGGCCCTTCTTCAACATGTGGAGAAGGCAGCACTGCCATCCCAAACCAAGGCAATTCACGACTTCCACGCTGCAGAGGCTGCTAAGCACGCTGCCACTTCATCCTCCACCGAAATTGCAGAACCTCCACGCACCTCTCCCATACCATCAGCATCATCTGCTGTTGACCCCCGCAAAAGGGTGCACCCTGAAGACTCTTATGAAGACTGTGATGGAGAATCTGGCAATGACGAGCGTGAAAATGCACGTACTAATCCCAAGCCTCGAAAGCAGTGCAAATCGGCTGTTGTCCCAACTGAACCAGAATTAGTTGATGCTGACGGTATTCTAATCGACATTGACGTTCAATCTCTCATGGAACCAGCGTCGACACGAGAGGCCAAAACTGCTGACATCGACAAATTTTTTGGTGCTACCTTTGATCATGCAGGGGCAAACGGAAAGGTGAAAAAGCACAGGAAGTACAAAACATGCCTGTAGGTCTGCTGATTTGTAGTTGTACTCACTGCGCTGATGCATGCTCAATAGGGAAGAATGTATTCTTGTTAATGAAATATCTACCCTCCGTCGTCACGCTGAGGCAAAGTTCTCTGCCAAATATCGGAAATGGGCCAAAGAACATTTGTTTGAGTTGATGCTTCCTGGCGACATTAAGGCCCGCAAGGAAAATGCCACGCAGCAGAGTATTAATGCGCATCTGACTGAGCGGAAGCTTGCCGAATGAGTGGTTTCATATATGGATAGGTTGTTCAAACAGGCTGCAATCGAGTGGCTCATGTCCACTGATCAGGTACTACATTTCTCTTACGATTGAACTGAATTAATGTCTATTTATCTAGCCAATTCAAGCACTCGAACATCCAAAGTTCAAAGAAATGATCGACATCACGGCTCGCGCAACCAACAGCGTCAAAATTCCAGGCAGGAAGGTAACTCGTGCGGAGATAATAAGAACCTTCAAAACTCATCTTACGGGGCTCAGGAGCAAACTCAATGTAAGTAAATTTTATGATATTGCTCTATCTACTTGACTAATGTAGACCTATGTAGGGTGCCACTGTCAAGGGCGCCATCAATACTACCTGTGACGCATGGCAGGCCGAAAATACTGATGGTTACTTTGCTGTCACAGGACACTGGATTGAAGAGAAGACTACTATGCAATGGGAACTCGAAAGTGCACTGCTTGGATTCACTCAAGTCAATAATGCCCACACAGGGAAGCGTCTCGGTGGTGCTTTGTTTAAAATCCTCGATCGTGTTGGTGTCACGCATAAGGTAAGTTAGGTTTACTGCAAGTATATTCATTAGTCTCATAAATCACACTAGCTTGGACACGTCACTTGTGACAATGCCGCGAACAATGGCACCACCCTACAGGAATTCTCAAGGCTATATGAGGCCAAATATGATAAGGAGTTTCCCTGGCGCCAGCGGAAAATAAAGTATGTTTGATTATCACTTCTTACTTAACAAAATTGCTCTCTGAAAAATCTAATAGCTGCCTAGCCCATGTTATCAACATTGCGACACAGACCTTGATCAGCTTGTACAGCAAATCCCCTCATTACAACCCCCATGATCCGAAAGCGCATGAGCTGTCCAATTGAGATGAAATTGGCCTCATTCGTAGCATTTGCATTAAGGAACGTTGCTCTGTGAAACGAAAGGAGCTGTACCGGAATGTTCAAACCAAGGGAGGCGTGTCCCAGCCGACGCAACTGTTAATCGACATGAAGGTTCGGTGGTCCTCCACTTATATTATGCTCAACTGTGCAGAGATGAATAAGGAACACGTTGACACGTTTGTATATGAGATGAGTCGTCAAGAGCGTGATTTAGCTAGACGCGCGAAGATTGACTTGTTGCAGTTGTCAAACGTTGAATGGACACATGTTGGGCAGTTTGCCGATCTTCTCTTGGTACATTATTTTCTATTTATTTGAAGCTTTCTACTTATCTTGGTTTTTTAGTATGCTGACGTGGCCCAACAAGCTTTCTCATCTGAACAAGGTTCAACCTTACACCTTGCAATCCCGGCACTCGAAACTCTTCACAAGGCTTGGTCATCACATGCAGAAAGGCCAAAATATGTGAATTTTGCTCCCACGCTCAAAGATGCAGCTGCCAAAGTAGATGAGTATTATGAGAAGACGACACACTCTGCTGCATATGTATTGTCAATGTGTACATTGATTATTTTTTCATGAACGACTGTGAGTCTGACATTTGCACTTCAGTACTCAACCCCACAGGGAAAATGTCATAGTTCACGAAGCATTGGCCAGAGGATCTGCACGATGACGTGCTTTCTACTGCAGAGACAGTGGTGAGTCATCTTTTTTATTTTATCAACTTAATCTGAATGTGCTACAACTAGTTCAAAGCGCGGTATCTTCAGCTGAACCAAGTGACATCATTGACGTCGCAACACACAACTAAGCCCAGCAGAACTGGCAGTCTCAAGAAGTTAATTCGCGAAGTCCTCAGTGACTCCGAGGATGATTCATCAGCCAACCCAGTGCCTACTTCAATTGGTGACCCGACAAGACCATGGCGGGCTGAATTTTTGGCCTACCTCGAGACAGTTGAAGCAGCTCCACCATCTGGCATGTCTACCATTCAATGGTGGGGTGTACATATTTTTTTCGCTACTCAAAAATTTCACGCTAATGATAATCTTACTACTTAAGATAAATGCACAGAGGTACCCCATTTGGGCTTCACTTGCGCGGGATTATCTGGCCATTATGTCATCGTTGGTCTCCAGTGAGAGGGCGTTCTCGCAAGGTGGTATCACCATCACCAAACTGACGCAACCTGGCTTAAGGCCGATATCGTCGAAGCACTCCAGTGTCTTAAATGTGCACTACAACACGATCTTCTGTTCCGTGAGCCTGCACCATCGTCTCTCGTTGAGTTGGAGCACCTGGACGACGACGATGAAGAAGTGGAAGTAGAAGAGACTGGTGATGACGAAGAAGGTTGGGACATTCTGCTTTTGGGTGATGATGCTGAGGACATGTCGGACACTGAGACGGACATTTACTAGATATATTGTAAGTATGCTGCCTAATGCCACAATGGTCTTGAGCTGTCTGTTGGCTGCAAAAAGCCATGGCCTGGTTGGGCTTTGGGCTGGCTTGGGCTCACGGCCTAGGCTCTGAATTTTTGTGAGCCTAAGCCCTTCGAAGCCGAGCCTAAGCTGGGCCAGAACATCACTATTCCTAACCCGCCATGCGCGCATACCCTATCACACATCTGCTTTAACGGGTGAAGTGTGGGTGTTGGAACTCATGGTCGGTCACCCTGATCACATCAAACACAATCTCAGTGTGAACCTCAATGTTTTCAATGGTTTGTTGGAAGTCCTACAAGCCAATGGGTTTGTAAGGTCCTGCAATGGAGATTCTGTGGAGGAACAGCTTGCAATATTTCTGTACACCTGTGTCACAGGGCTCTCGACCCGCCATATCGGAGAAAGGTTCCAACGTTCATCGGATACAGTCTCACAGTAAGTAGAGAATCAATATTGTATTATAATTCGTCTATGCTGCACATGTTACTGTTCTTTTCAACACCTCCACTTTACTCCTCACATGTTCAATTCCCTAAACACAACACTCCCATCTCTCCCACAATCTTAAATGATGCGCACATCCGACTTTTTGATCAGTGCCTTGGCACTGTTGACGGTTCTCACATCCGCGCATTCACCACCATCGAGGACCAGCCGTTCATGCGGAACCGTAAAGGATATCTCTCCCAGAATTGTCTTTTCATGCGCAATGTTGACTTCTTTTTTATTTACTCACTTTGTGGATGGGATGGCTCTGTCTCTGACATGGCTCTCTGGAATGATGCGCACACAAAGGACTTGCACATTCCCCCTGGAAAATACTTCCTCACAGATGCCGGCTTCGGATCATGCAACACACTGCTTGTTCCATATCGCGGTGTGCGCTATCATCTCAAGGAATGGCAGCAGGCTAACCTCAGGTATGTTCTCATGTTCTCATTCTCACAGCTTTTCTTGACCGGTGCATTTTTTAAGGCCTCAGAACCCAAAGGAACTATTCAACCTCTGGCATGCAAAACTGCACAATGTAGTGGAACAGATTTTCAGGGTAATCAAGTGCCGGTGGCGAATTTTACAACTACCACTAGAGTACAACATGAGCATTCAAGCACGAGTGCCAGTGGCTTTGTGTGCCTTGCACAATTTTATTTGGAGGCATGACCCTGACGCTGACCTACTCGATCAAGACAAATATAACAAGAACAACCGCATCATAGATGACAGAGAGGATGGAGCGGCTCATGAGGAACTTGGGGATGGGCCTGCTGATGCTGCTGAGAGACGATGTGCAGAACAGCATCGTGATGCTATAGCACAGGCAATGTGGGAGGACTATTGTGCAGAGTCTATTCGGCGCGGACATCCATTAGTGTAGTACATTAGTGTAGTACAAACTGATGGAATTTAACATGGTGTTTTTAAGCTGGCGCAAGACAATAGTCTTGAAACTCTCTGCGATCTGACCAGCAACATAAGCCATGGTAAGTTTGCAATCAATCATTTTGGCATGGTCGGTAATGGTTACATACTACTGCGGCAAATGTTAGTGAAGCATCTTTGCACCCACACAGATCTGAGCTTCTCATCCATATTCAGGTACTTGATGACCTCCCTCTCATTTGATCCAAGATAGTCTATCAAGTCGACTTTTTCATCGTCTGAGAATACAGTGCTTGTGCTGACCATTGCAACCGCACGTGCAAGATCCTTTGCAGATGTTGCGGCTGTGGTGTCCACAAGTGTTTGGTTGAAGTCCTTGAGCATGTCAGCAAGACTGACCATCGTACTGCTATTCTCCTGCTGCACCTTTACAGCTGCTGAGGGAGGTTGGACTCGCTTTGACGAACTAGTAATTGAGATGTCTGAGCCTAGTGCGCTGGCCTTCCGCTTCTCTTGACGGCTGATGCTGGTCATAATGGAGGACACAGCGTCTGTGTCAGAAATGAGGAAGATAGATGGAGCAGCTGGTGATGCTGGTATGATTCCAGGCTGAAATATGTGGTGTTTGACACTTGGAGAAGAGCCGATCTCATCTGTCACTGCAGTAAGCTGACTCAAGTTCAAGGCAGTGAGTGGTTGCGCTAATGGTGGAGCAGCAAGTGGTTGTGCTGGTGGTGATGCAGTGCTGCTACTAGCTGCAGCAGTGGCAAGGGGATCAGAGTGTGACATATGATGTGCAGCAAGCGGAATGGATCCTGAGTCCTCGGATGATGTGACTGGAGGTTTGTTTTGGCAGACCTAATTGCCTCGGGACTTCCGTGGCATCATGTGGTGAATGGCCTCAAAATGCAGAAAGCTCTTGTTCTTGAACAGTTTTGCAGCTTTATGGATCTTTCAAAATAATACAGGGTGAGTTGCAAGTATAGTTGAGATAGCAGCTACATACCTTGACAAAATTCGTCCATGTCGCTTCATACTCTAACGAAATTCCTGCGCCATCCACATCACTCCACGAGAATCCAGATGCATTCTTGATTTTGAGGACACCATAATAAGAGGTCTTCAGCTACAGAAATTACAATCAGTATTAACACCATGTAGCATGCCGGCACACCCGTAGTAGTCAGTACTCACATTGGCCCATTTGATCTGACAACTCAACCATACCTTCTCACCACCTTGCTGCTGGTGAAAATTGTCTTTGAGATGCTGAGCAGCACCCTGGAAAACTGTTTTATTGAAGTTTGTGCTGGTGGCATCACCTGTGGTGCTCATGTGTTGTTGGAGGTACTGGATCAAGGCAGCTTCCTCCTCAGTAGTCCAGTGAGCAGCAGGTTTGCGACATGTAGTAGTAGAGGGTGCATTAACCTGGCCTTTGGATTGAAGGGAATGGCTTGATCATGAGCTCGATGAGTGAGATCTTGTCATGATAACAATGTGTTGTCAGCATAAGTATGGAGTGCACTGTTCCACCGAGTGGCATCTGGGAATTCTCCTGGAGAGTCCCACAGCAAGATCACATGATGAATGTTTGAATTTCGAATGCGAAATTCACTGTCCAAATGGCACCTAATTAATATCAATATGACACGTCAATATACAACATGCACGAGCATGTCTTCCTGGAGCACCAGGAATATGTGGTTCCAGGACAAAGAGACATTGGTGTACTGCTGCCTGCAAGCATTTGGAAGGAGATGAGGCTCATGGACCTGGAGCAGGCATTCCGAAGACTCATTGGCAGCCTCCCTACACTCCCCCAGGCGAGATTGGCAAGGAGAATGCGCCTGTGTTAGTTTCTCATGGTTCCAAATGTGCTGGAGCACAAGCAGGCCCATCCCGTCCATCAAAGAAGGCTCAAACAACCATTCCGACTGCTCTTGCTGTACTTAGTGCTTGATTACTTACTTTACGCACCTATTCCAGTTGCATATGTACTCGTTTTCATGCTACAGCTATCTGCTTTGCTTTGCAATAGACATTTTGACTTAACATTGTGCGATGAACAACTACTTGATATGGCTAAATTACATGATCGGTCACGCTGTCATGGTAGGCGTAGGGGGTACCCAAGTTACAACAGGTTAGTGTCTTGAACTACTTGATCCCACACCTCTTGCTCCAGACCTACAGTCCCCCAATTCCAAAGGTACCACAGATGCAACAGATACCAACAGACACATTTTGTTATTGGTTGTTTAAGTTGGTACTAGGATAACAAATTTCACGCCAGTTTAACATAGAACTTCGTTTTGAAATTTTGTTATTAGATATGAAAAACGAGTACTAATTACAATACATCAATAAGACAACAAAACACAATGTAATATATGTTCAAGTTGAATTTACATGTTCCACTTGTATACAACTATCAGTCCAACTGTGCAACAAAATGAACTATAGAAAGGTGAGATGAGTACTGCTAATGAAAAAAAAATGCTCACCTATCTGCTTGTTATTGCCAATTAGTGTTTGCTCCAACCGACATGTAGCAAGAGTGATTTCAGAGACAGAGAGCCCGTTTTCTGATAGTATTGAGCGCACCCGTCCCACCATCAGCTCGGCATCTCCTAGCCTCTTCCATGCCTTCGCTGCCTTAAGACGACTATATTCAGTCAAAGTGTTTTCCTTGGTGACAAGTTGGTCTGCAAGCTGAGCTTCCACTCTGCGTACTTCATGTTCCACACATACTAGTGCCAGGAAACATCTGGCCTCTTTGACATCTTGTGGGGGGCTTTCCTTGGCCTCAGCAATGATTAATGGAGGATCCTTGGACAAGATATAATAAGCATCAAATTTGAATGAACTTGAACATTCATTTACTCACAAAAGGAGGACACAATAACTGTGATAGATATATGGGATAGTCTGCGGTGTTTGTGTTGTGACTTGGTGATGGAGTATTGGAATCAAGTGACATAACTGATTGTATATGTGTGCAAAGTTCAAACATTGTCGGGAATTGCCGATATCATCTTTCTACCATGTACTCCATGAATCATCTGCGACGACTCACATATAATTCAACTCTGGCTATTGGTATAAACAGTATTCCTTGCCTGTCTTGTGGCAAGCATTTTAAAAATAATACTCGTGTATTGCAACATGTGAATCAACCTATGTCTCGATGCAGCAAGAAATGTCGCCATTTGCAACTCATCCGAATGTCCTATCATGATGCCATGGGACAACACTGCAGGAACTCTTCAGACGACAACAGTGAACTTGCGAACTTAGAGATGAACAACAATATTTACCAGGCCAACGGTGATATCGACCAGTTTACCCTCAATGTGCCTGGGGTAAATACTGACATTGGCCAGCAATCCTCAGCAGTCGAAGGGGGTGTGGAGTGGGGACAGGCAGTCAAATACTGTCTGAATGTTCCAAGGGTTTATACCAGAGGAATGACATTAATGGACGGTTTTGATCAAGACATCTATGCTTGTCGAAGAACCAAGGTTCCTTGGTATCCTTTTGCCAGCCAGAAAGATTGGGAGGTCGCTCATTGGTTAATGTGAACAAACCTTAGCATGTCAGAAATTGACAAATATCTAAATCTTGACTCTGTAAGTTTCCCTTTGGTCTTCTTAACTTTGCATTATGCCTATGTGGAATGTCAGACGAAGGAAAGTTCCCTTTCATTTCACCATGCCAAGGAGCTACACCAGTGGGTAGAGATGTTACCATTGGGCCCACGTTGGAAGTATGAAGATGTCATAGCTGACTGCCCTATAAAACACCTGCTTCATCATTCTATCACAATGTGATCGACTGTCTACAATCTCTTCTCAGTGATCCTCAGCTTGCAGATTGCATCGATTTCACGTATATAATAGCTTTATGATGGGCGATCATTTATGGTACCTCCAGGTACATTTTATATGTGAATTTTCAGTGCTAAATGCTCATTTTACCCTCTTTAGTGTCAGATCCCTCAGGGTGTGTCTCTGCTTGGGGTGATCTTGTCCTTGGACAAAACAAAGGTCACCAATATATCTGGTAATCGATACGCTCACCCTCTCCTGATAGGTGTGGCAAACATCACCTCTTCCTCACACGCTAAGGCTTCGCTCCATGCATATTTACTTGTCACGCTTATCCCAGTACCAAAATTTGTCCATTCTAATGCAAGGGTGCACGGCGTACTTGCGGATCGGCTGTTCCACCAGTGCATCAGCATTGTAACCGAACCACTGAAGGCAGCTGCCAAAATGGGCATCATGATGAATGACCCTGTTGGTAATAGCAGGTATTGCTTCATGCCCTTGGTTTTCTATGTCGCAGATACTCCCAAGGAGCTCCTGGTTGCCTGCATTTGCAGCAATGTGTCCTCTGTCACCACCGCCACCCGAGATCAGTTCAGAGATCCCTTCTGCCATCCACTTCGGAAAGGATCGTCCACCCTTGCTCATATCAAAGCTGTTTTGCGATCTGTTGCACATGCTGATGTCTCTGAGTTCTTTGCGGCATGCAAGTGGTACAGACAAATTAGATTTTCATTTCATGCTTTTGCAAGTTCTGATTGGGTACCGCGACTTCAAAGATGGTGTCTCCACATTGAAACAAGTATCTGGCCGAGATCATCAAGACATTCAATGGTATCTCATCTGTCTCATCGCAGCTGCTGTACCATCTGACTTTCTCTCCACAGTTCACTCACTCTGCAAGTTCCACTATCTTGCGCAGGCACTGTGTTTTACTGAGGGTTCTGTGACAAGGGTCGAGCATGCCCTACAGGGCTTTCACACTCTGAAAGAAGCTGTTGTCAATGCAGGCGCTCAATGAGGAAACTCCGGTGCAAACAAGCCATGGACAATCCCAAAATTGGAGTTGCTGAAAGGTGTTGTGCCTAGCATCCGCTCACACGGGTCAGTGATGCAGTGGTCTGCTGATCCAACAGAGTGTGCACACATAGACTACATCAAGGTTTCTGGGCATGCTGGAAATAACCACAATTACAACGAGCAGGTTTGTCGTTACCTTGATCGTCAAGAAAAGTGCCAAAAATTTGTGCTTGCCCTGGAAATCAAGTTAGGGGAAGGTTTGGAAGAAGAAGAAGAGGAGGAGGAGGAGGATGTTTGAAATGGCGACAAAGCTGGAGGAGTCCGTTATTTCAAAGACTATTTTGAACGTGCGCAACAGCTGATCAAGAACAAACACGGTGCTCCCCACCCATTCAGGACATTCACAACATCAATTACTGCATATCACCTCAGCACCAACCTGACCCTCACCCATATGACTGTTGACAAGGCTGCGGAACAGTTTGCATTGCACAACCTTCATGGTGCACTTGCAGATTATCTGGAATGTGACACTGCTGGTTCTGTTCATGTCATTGGTGGCAGGAGAAGAGCACCTTCCAATTGTAAATTGAAATTTGAACACATGCAAGTTTGGTGTAAGGTTCGCATGCAGCTTAAAAGCTATCACAAACAACGCCTTGAGTGTTACAAGAACATCTAGACGCTTGGGCCCCTACCATTTTTCTCCTCATCCTCCTCGTATCAGCCCTCGCATCACACCCTTACCCCGACCTCACCCTTGTTATCCTTGTCATACTTGCATTTCCTTTTGCCCTCTACCTGTCACTTCAACAGAGCCAGTACATCTGGCCAGACCCTTTCGCTGATGAAGCATACCCATGCTCCGTCCCACCACCTGACTGATCCTGTGGACAGTCCCCTTGCCCCTACCATCCGGATGGTAACCTATGATACGACGCATGCTGCATCCCCTCTACCCAGTTCCCTTTCTTGATCTATGACTCGGTGCGCAGTCGCGCATGTGTACTTATACTTAGCTCCGCAGTTGCACGATCGTGCCCCTGCACGTTTCACTTCTTATTTCAATCTTTGACTCACTTTCTTATCAGCACGTTCAGGATCACTCGTGTCTTACCTCGAACGTGCTTTCCTTTATAGTCTTACCCTTTACCGCTTACCTCTCTTGGTAGTACGAGTTATCACCCACTAATACGCTTCCTGTCCTCTATATAAACTCGCTACCATGTACTATATTACTTAACTTGAATCTACTTGGTTCTTGACCTCCTACTCTCACAAGAGTGATCCTTTCTGCCTAGCCAGCAGTCTATATTCTATCTTCTTATCTGCTCATCGTGGATAAGTCCTTAGTCTCGATCTTTACTCATTGACTTCATCGACAAGCAAAGCCCCTGTTAACTAGTCGGACTTCTGTCCTCCTAATTAATGACAATCTTACGATTAACCTTCAGGTGTCGTAAGCCTTGGCAGATACAGCTTATCGTCTTGCACCCGCTTGACATAAGCTACCCGATTTGGACATAGGCGTCAAATCTTACTTGCCGAAGCCTCGCCAAGTAAGACCCCTAACCTTGGGCTAGCCCAGGGACGTCCTCGACCATTGACGACATACTGCTCTGTTTGAGCGTCGCCAACAGATACCATCCAAGTCATAACATTGAGCCCTCACAAGCTGTCATTGCCCAACCACCCTCCAAAACCTGGCCATGCGGATGATACAATGCAGTCATTGTGAATGTAGATCCGACATTCAAGTGGCCCCACAGTCATTTAGAAGGTTTGCATTTGCTTCAAGTTCATTCTGTCCTCATCACTGACAATTCTTACAGGTCATTGTGTCGGTTATCTACGCTTAATTTTTGCCCCATTACCCCTTTGGAATACTCTGGGACATATCTTGCTTATGTGGAGCATCTAGATATTGTTACCATGGACCCAGCTGCTGGGATGCATATTTTAAGGTGTGCGCAGCATTCAAATGGTACTCGCATCAGAGATGTGGTACCTCTCAGCCAGATCTATACCTATTGTAGTCTACCTGTAATAAAGACACGGCTTGTTACAAGCTATTTGGTCAGTGGAAGATGTGTGATCTGCAGCATGCAGACAATGAAGCTGGAATATGGATAAGATGGTGAGTTTGTTGTAGTGAAAGTAGGTTAATGGCGATAGGCCACATGGGTTGCTCAATGATCATTGTGATGAGCTGCGATGTTGGAATATGGATAAGATGGTGAGTTAGTTGTGGTGGAAGTAGGTTGATGGCGATAGGCCATATGCATTGTTCACCTGATCATTGGTCAACTGAGATCTATTGTACATGACACGTAGATATACACAAAAATGTCCATCGTAGAAGTACAATTGATGAAAACACTAAGCATCTGAAATCATACTAGAACCTGCCATAAAGACCAAGGTAATGTTGCATCTCTTGCATTCTTTCCCATTGCTGTTGCAGATGCTCCTGCTCAGCTATGAGTGCCAATGTCAACAAGCATTCTTCCTTCATGATCATTGTAGGTGGGCTCCTGAGTGGTGGCAATGGAATGCCAGGATGTTCTTCCACATAATGGAGGTGTTCTTCAGCGATATTGAACACCTTGTTCCAAATGTGCTGTAATCGTTGTCATTAGACTTTAGAGATGCGAAGGGGGGGAAATGGTTACTTACCGTGGTGGCAGGGGTGTGCGAGACATCAATCTCCAATTGTGGTGCTGGCACCAACAAGTTCTGGCAACTGATCAGCGCCGCAATGTACTACCAAAGCACCAAACCTACAGCGAGAGAATCAAACTACCTAAAGTGTTAGTAACACATGATTATAAATCGGAGATGTCAATACCTGATCAGTCCTAGCTAGACTCATAGCGCCTGTGTTGTTATGATTATCATTGTTGATATGCTATTGATAAGTGATCTCAATTAGTATCCGGCTGATAAAGAAGGCTATAATTACTTACAGGCATAGGACCTTGAATGCTATTATCGTTCACATGGCTATTATTGTAATCGTTGACGTTGATAGACATGCTTATACAGTAGACTAGGATGAAGCAAGAAGGTCATTGATGAAATGAATAATTGAGTTAATGTGAGAGTTGATGATGTAATATTACCCGATATGGAATGGGGGTTAGCAACACATTGAATTATGCCAACATTCCGGGAGACCAATAACCTGCACTGACACAAGTGGCAAACAAGGTCATCATAGCTGAGACGATGTTCCAGGATAAATCCTAGAAATAGGTCAGTTAAAACATTGTCGGAGGACTGTGTTAAACGCTGATTGTCAGTCTATGGATCACACAGCTAACCAGAAACTTGAAGGACTAGTAAGAGACATACATCATCATCAGTGTGACCTCGGAGCTGCTGTGTTATGTTCACAGCATTGCAAGGCTCTCACAGGATTGTTTGACTCACCATTCAGGCAAGCCACTACAAGCAAATAGAGGCTTCAGGCAAACTAATCTGAGTCTTTTTGAAAACTTGAAGCTGAGAAGGTTGCAGTGCATTGACAAAGAAGATAAGGGGTTGATTAGTGATTACTCATCATTTAAGTTTTCTTCCAGAAATATTTTTGTACTATATCATTGGCAACTTGGCATGTACATATTTCTCTGAGGCCACCAACCTTATTTCACCACTCTTGATGAGCATGGCCCAGCTGCATCGAACACGCATACCCAAGTTTCATTCGCTAGATTCTCCCCTTCATAGTTCAACAACTTCAGTTCCTGACTTTGGCCAGCGAATCACTCTCGTGGAGCTAAAACATGCTCACCAGACAGAACTTGCTGATGCCACCATATACGAACCTGAAGGATCAAAAAGTGACAATAATTGTTGAAACAACTGGCTTCCTCATACACTCCTTCCTGACGTCTTAAATGAGAGATTATTGTCATACCTTAAGACTGATGACGGCCAACATCTGTATGATGTGGCATGCAAATGTTGGAACCCTGCCTTTCTTCCGCCACTCTTGCATCAACCTGACAATAGAAAAGGTGGGAAAGGAAAAAAGAAACCTAATTTGGATGAAGAGGAAGTGGAGAGTGACAAGACAGCTAGCATTAAATCCCGGAATGATGAGGAGATGCTGGCAGATTTTTTCAACAGGATCATGAAGGCGATCCCAATCGCCATTGAAGAACTTCATTGAGATCTAGCTGCCAAGTGTCTCAAGAAATCAGGAAGTTGCCATTGTGCAGAGTCGGAGAGCAGATACTTTCTACGCATATCCCGAACTCCTCTGCCAAGTCGACCCCACACACAGTCACAGACCAACACGATGGATACACTTTCAGCATTTTCGGGTCGTCGATGGACTGGCTTTTTTTCTACATGCAAAATGACAGGCACACCACTTGCAGTCAAACCCAATCTTGTGTTGCAGGACAGCGATGGGAGTGATCCTGCTGGGCCAGACCTCATAGCGTGGAACAATGTACTTATGTTTTGTGAGTTATCAAAGCTTGCAATGCGGCCCGAATTATTGGATACCTTGTACGCAAAGGCGTATGCAGTATATAAAGTGCAATTGAATTGTCGGTTTGTTTTTGTACTGTCTATCACAGACTTCCTCCTTCAAATCACCTTGTTTGATCGTTCAGGAGCAGTCCATTCATTACCCTATCATATCCACAAAATGCCAGTCATGCTCATGGGCATACTGGGTGGGAGTGTCTACTTGAGCCTCGCAAATCTTGGCTATGATCCTACAATTGTGTTACCCAAAATTCCTCGCCACCACACACTTTCTCAAACCATCCCCTCAATCAAAGTCAGTGACAAGACCTACCACATCATCAAGCCAATTTTTGCAAGGGCCACCATCAGAGGCAGAGCCACCATGTGCTGGCATGTCCAGGATCCAGACACATGTGATGATATTGTCATCAGGGGCAAACGGCCAAAGTGTCCCTACTTCTATGTGGTAAAGGATACTTGGTGCATTGCTGCCCGCTCGAGTGTAGAAGAAGAAATTCTGGAGATACTAAAAGATATCTGTGGGGTTCCAAAGCTCATCAAGTCATGGGACATTCAGGTCTCTGGGTGTCCTGATACCACGGGTTCTCATCGGAAAATGTTACTCACAGGAACAAATGTGGCTGAGCTAGATATTCATCAACACTTGGTCATGGAATCATATGCTGTTCCAATCACTTACTTCTCTCGTCGAATGGAGTTGCTTGAGTGTTTAATAGATGTGATAAATGGTAAGTGTTGAGAATCATATACATATAGGCATTAATTACATTCTCTTACAGCACATTGTGAGATCATCGGTCAAGGCATATTACACTGTGATATCAGCCTCAATAATATCATGATATATTTTGAGTATACCATCAACGGCATCTTTGCAAGGGGTCTCCTAATTGATTACAACTATGCGACAAAGATTTCCAAGGGAACTGACCATGCTGTCGGACGACAGGACCTTACTGTTAGTATATCTGTATATATATGTTTGTTGAACCTTATATGCCACTAATTTTCAGGGAACTTTGATGTTCATGGCTAGTGGCATTCTGCTGCAATACTCGGAGCATGGCATTCCATGTGAACAAATGGTTGCTCATGATCTGGAATCATTCGTCCATGTTTTCATCTATATCTGCGTGATGTATGATGGCCCTGGTGACAAGCTTCGAGATGATAAGCTTTTCAACCAGACTATTATCAGTCAGTGGATCTATAGGGAATGGGACACAATAGGGTTGATCAAGCAGCAACATATGGAACAACCTGATCTTATTATATCAGACATTACTCCATACTTTCAGCCGTTTTTGACTCTCATCACCAAGCTGTGCTTGCTTCTTAGTGAGCAGGTCAACTGTATGAAAACCTTTGACAGCTGTGGTACTACACCCACCATCAACTCGCCTCTTACACACACAAGACTAATCAACACAATCTGGCCAGCCATTGATGATGACAACTATGATGAACCTCTTTCAGTCCATATGTGCATCAGGCAGCTCGTTTTTGATGGTAAAGCACCTTCATTTATTACCGAAGGTGATAGACCATATCTAGCCTCCAAGGCGAAAAGGAGTGGTGCTATTCTCGACAATCAATGCTCTTCAAAGCGCTGGAGAACTACTAGTGGAGTCAGAAGATTATTGAACTCTGGTACTGCTCATCCTATAAGAGCAACCAGGGGGAATTCTACCAGGCAGAGTAGGAGGCACCATAGTGGGCTTAGGTCTTGATCATAATGAGATATTATTCTACATTTTCACTTACACTATACCTATTCTTCTATGTACCAAGGCTTTGTATTGTGCCACATGTTGATATGCTTCTGCAGATATGTGTTCTACCAGAGTTCGAACCAAACATCTAATAAATAATAATCAAAATTGAACTTGCCTTGCAGCTCTTTGGGTTGCAAACCATGGTGCCACGCAAGAAGAGCACTGCAAACAAGGAGAACAAGAACAACAAGTCGGAGAAGCAAGGTAATTATCTACACTACTCATTTCTGCTCACATTTTACTTCATAGCAACATGACATTCGACTCACAACAACCGAGGTAATGGAGGACGTCTTCAACAGATGGAGAATATTGAGCGTGTCCAAACAACAAAATATCCATGCAAGAAAGCCAACCCTGCTTTACAGTCGCAGCCTGTGAACATGTTGGCGCCTTAGCCAGCGAAGTGTCGCTCCAAGCCTCAAACTCGTGTTCAAGACTCTCCAGCTGTGGAGTTCGAAGCAGGCTATCAGTCTCACGACGAACAGCCGGTTAATCCAAGTTGACATCTTGCCAAACCCAGGGGACAATATGGGTTCACTCCACCAGCCACCAGGTCAGCACAATGTACAGTTGCATCTGACCACTTCAATGATGACAAAGGTACAAAGCCTGATGAGGACTGGGATGGTAATGATGGATACAATGACGGTTTGAGGCCTGACAGCGACAACATTGATGAAGATACGAAGCTCGATGGAGAGGCGCATAATCAGGGTCAGGAATATGACAATGAGGATGGTGGCTGGGATGACGGGATGAATGGTCCAGGTGATGCCAATGGTGATAGCGAAAATGATGATGAGCTGTTTGGTCTTTCAGGCATGGATATAGATCAATGTGAGTCAATTTGTGGTTCCTTGTTGTTACACTTAATATTTTCCTTTAGCACGCTCATCTACTGACATCAATATAACCAGTGTGTGCTAGCTTGTACAGTCCTTGACCTAGCTAACTATTATCATGCAGGGCCAGGAACCCCTGAAGTCAACGACCCCTGCCTTTGTAGTGAGTTCTCTTATTTCTTAGTGGTTTGTTTTGCTTGACAGCCCACTGTTAGAACACAGGTTAATGCCAGAAGGATATCATACTGACACAGATAATGAACAGCACATACCTCCTGGGAAATGGTGTATGATATCACCCATATCACTCTCAGATAGTGAAAACGAAGAAGAGCACACACCTCCTATGAAAGAATGCATATTGGGATGCGGATCCACTGATAGATGTGCAGGACAACCAGTACCTTGCGAGAACCAATGTAGGACACCATCAGCTCCAGCCACTGACCACAACAATGTACATCAACCCTCCAATTGTCCTTGTTCTCAGCCCAATGTACCACCCAACCATCGTGTCCAGTCCAGAAAACAGTCTTCTGGCCACCACAACTGTCGCAGTCCTGCTCAGTCTGAAGCACAATCATCTAGTCGCCATCAATGTGGTGATGTCCTTCTTCAGCACCAAGAAAGGAACAGGCGTCCTAGGTCCTCTGATCTAGACTATTTGCAAGAATGCCAATGAGGTGAAGACTGTATTGAAGAAGGCAAGGAAGCTGAAGAAGAGCAGACCGAGAAGGATGGAGATGATGACAATGAAATCCAGTCTGCGATGAAGAGTCGCAAACGATCAAACGGCCCCATCCCAACGCAGCTTTGGTTTTACCTGCCGGTGTACAGGGACTTACTTGAGAAGGCAAAGAAGTGGTCTAGGCTTGAATCTCTCGATAATTTATTCCCTCATTGTGAGACTTTCCTTGCTGAGGATGCAGTTAAAATTCTAGCAGAACTACACGATCAGTTTGCTGTGGAAGGTCGCGGCGTGGAGGAAGGCTATTGGGAGAGCTAAAAGCATAATATGGCTATCATAGTATTTCGTTTCCTTGTCTGTTTTTGCTATTTGATTTGTTGACTCGATATCATCACAGTTATGGGATGATTTAGGAAACATGCACTCCGAGTTCAAAAAAGCAGCCCACCCAACTGTTCAAAGTCGGTACGAGCTATTCCGCAAAGCTGATTAAATTGAAGACAATGATGACGCCATGAAACACATTCGTAGTGGCATAAAGGACCTTCTGGACGAGGCGAAGTTCCTATGAGGCGGACTGGACTCACAGGTATGAATAAAATTGCTCGATCAGCTTTGACCTCACCTCTCACGCAGGGCCACACTAATAATCTTGCACATGTCACACTGGAGGATCTTTGTAAAATGTACTATTACATGGGTAAGAACGCGCTGGCTCGATTTTTTCCTGACATCTTTGGGAATTCCGTACCCAAAGGTGCAGTAGCACTCGCTGCCACAATAGTAAGTGGGTTCATTTTTCCTGAATGTGCGCTGATCTATTTCAGCTGGCTCCGGCACTTGATGAATACAGGAAAGGCGTGTGGCGCGTGGGAAAATTGCATGTCGATACATACCGTCCCATTCATGAAGGTATCCTAAACTTGATGGACCAGATTGAAAAAGACCGCTGCCACAAATCCAAGTGCCGTGGGTTTAGGCATTGATGGGCAAAGGCTGCTAGGTATCAAGTTTTCTCTGGTCTTGGATCTCATTAATGACACTTGTACTAGTGCCAAGACAGAGGCACTGAAGACTCACACCGTCGTCTTCCAAGCTGTGCTTGACTAACTCGATCATTTCAATTGTTTGCACTCATTTTCTGTGGAATTACACCATCGCCATTTCATTTCATACATCTATTGATCATTAATGTTGCATAGTTAAACACAATTCCATATGGTACACAGTCTTTATGATGAATGATACATGTTTACCATGCTTGTGTTGCTACTGTAAGTCTTGCACTATGTGCTGTGCAGGTCTGTTCCAGCTCTGTTCCCACCCTTCCTTTGGTTCCTTCCCTGTTAGTTTCAGTTCCTGAACAGACTGCACCACTTCCCGCTATTTTCCCAGCATCAGTCTCTGTTATTCTCCCCCAGCAGACTCCTTTATGTCTTCCCACTCAAGCTCAACAGGCGACAGCTCTTGAAGGGCCACCCAACACTGTGAATCTTCTCAAACAACCACATAGGCCATCCAAATGTCAAAAGACAAAGGATGCTGTGACTGAGGGAGATGGCAGACTGCCACCCATTGAAAACAGCCCACTTCACCAAGTCCACCACATGTCAGTAAGTAGCAGTCTGGGTTGGTTCATTTTGGTCATATATTGTTACATGTATATAGTTGATAATATGTGAATCACGATCCATCATCTTACAGCTTTTGGGATGTGGTTGGAGACTCAGAGGTGCCAGTGTAAGGATCTTCGTGGGGGCTCATGAAATTTAAACATGCCAATGCCTTGATAAGCAGTTATTCTGTCATATCCCATGTTCCGGACCTGGACGTATCACACACATCATTTCTGGATATCCGGGTCTGACCGACTTCTATCTATGTCTGGATCCGACCCGCGTCTAACTTCCGTGCCTAATCCATTTGTACGTTCCTATTCCAGTTAGACTATATTATTTTCCATACCTCATTTCACTTCTGCCTTTATTTTCCTCTGTTCTCATCTCCGGATTCATTTACTATTTTCAATAGACTAGCATTTGACTTTTCTATAACCTCCATCCACAGCCTCACATAGCTTCGGACTGCGCTGGCTTGTCCTCCATTAAGTCCTCCATAGTATATAAACCCTGTAGAATCTATGTACATCTTTAGTTCGAATATTATCTTAGACTCTGCTCATTCTCCCCTCCGTTTGACTTGAGTTATTCTCTTGTTGACCTCCGCTAGTCTTAGGGTCGATCCCGATAGACTTATTACCTCCGCCTCTACCTTTGGTAGTCCTCTGCTGTTTCCTTTCTAGTTCGGACATCATCCGGATTAGTCTTATCACCTGTTCCCGAACGTCCGCCGGAATTCCCGCACATCGGACAATCAGAATCTGGACATCGTCCATTAGCCTTCGGAAGTTAGGGGCATGTACTCGGGTAAGGGGTGCAGCGCACAAGCTGAAGCCAAGCCCTTCAGATTGAACCTTTGAGCACGATCTTAACATATTCAACACAACACGCAATGAAAGACTCTGCTAATACTTAGTATGCCCGCTCAAAGGGGAAAAATTCAAAGAACTAACCAAGGTGCACCAATCAATCACCATTAATTACAAGGGATGTGAGTGTACAACAAAAATTTCACCAAGTCTGAAATTTCAATTTCCTAATTGGTGCAGTAAAAGTGATGATGTCACTTGAAGTTGACAAGCAAAATTTCACTAAGTCCAAAATTTCCTGATGTCAGTCAAGGAAAAAGTGCATCTTGTGACTTTGATGTTCAGAATTTGATCAAATCGGATGTGGCTGGCATCATGTGACCAATCTTGATCTTCCTCAATACTTTTAAATTGCAAATGGTCTAGGTCAAGTCTAGGTGAGCTATTGTTTCGGACTATGTTGATCAGATTAGTAAGCTTATTTGACAGCCCCATTCAAGACCCCCAGGGACCAAATCAGAAAGAAGGATTGATGAGTGACAAGAAGCAAGAAACCAGGTCTGGGGAACCAATCCAGCCAACAGCAGGCTTCTAGGTAGGATCCTCCATTGATATATCAGCCCTACAGATTATAGGTGCTTATGGATTATGGTAAAATTTGTATCACACATTTACCACAACTTGTAATTAATTGCACAGGTTCGTGGCATGCTGATGCATCAAACAGGGTAACTGTAGCGCACCTGTGATGCATCAGTGACTCCCTCCCATGCTGATGCACTATGATGCATCACAATGCATCATCTTCCTCCCATGCTGATGCAACATAATGTGTCATGATGCATCAGTGCTCCACTTGCCCATTTTGCTGATGCATCTTGCCTGCCGCCTGTTTGCCCCTTGTTCTTGCCCCCCTGTTTACTCTCCCATACACATATTGTCATTCTATGTATGTAGCGAGGCACGACCGGAAGCAATAAAACTAAGTCTTTGAGTGAATGACAAGCGGAGCTTTTGCACACCTCGCTTCTTCACCACAATGAAGAATCCTCCCCATACACTTTGTCATCTTAGAAATTTCTTTTCTATACATTTAGTCTCGCTCTTATTAAGTTCCCAAATCCTCAAGTACTGTCAAATGAGTTGCTCGCAAACTAAATAATAAGCAACCCAATTATCTTAGTAATACGGCTGACCCATCTCTTGAAATTTGCCCAGACTTTGCTGGCGACTTATTCGCAGCCATACAAGACTTGATAATCATGATGGGTACTACACACCAAGCCATAGCAGAAAGACTTAGAAACACCTGGATAACAGGCCACGAGGAGAGAATCCTCCAATGGAATTGTCGACAAGAGGAAGACACCCAAGCTGAGGCTGAAATAGAACAAGCAAGGGCAGCATGTGAAGAAGAAGAACACTTAGTGAAGGAGGCTGAAGCTGAGAAAGAATGCACCGAGCTAGAGAAGAAGAAACCCAAGATGAATAGCTTCAGCGCAACAGCCACCATTGGTGATGCTATTGCCCCATGTCCCTCTCAATACGTGATTCAGAAGCTAAACAGTTTTGAATACGTAGAACTGTGGTACTTCTCCCCAGAGGGTTGTAAAGAGGCTATGAGAACGTCTCGATCCATTGCCGACAACACATTCAGCCTAACGAAACTGGACGACCAATTAACCATTTGTCCAGTGTCAGCCTTCAAAGCCTCCCAGTCAGCGATCCCTGACCATGAACTCTCTTTCTCTGTTTTCCTACAGGCAAAAAACCTCTTCTTAATGCAGGCTAACACGGCCAAATGGCTGCAAACCCATCTAGACACCTTAGCCCTGTTCTTTTGGCACCTGGAAAACCATGCCATTCGCAACAATAGCAAACTCAGCAACTTAGTTATCTTGCACTACGCATCTCGAGTCCGCTTAGACTGGCACAATCGCCTCAAGCGTGACGAAGGTTTCAACATTGGCATCATCAATGAAACATTGATACAATCAATAAATGAAGAGATGTGGGATAGAGTGCGATCAAGAACCCTTAGCACGGTGCGTATCATCCTTGTTGAATAGCAAGATAAGTAACTTATGAAACGTTCGCACAAATCTCCCTTTTCTCATATCAAATGTTGTCACACTTCAAACCTCTCATTACCCGCACTTTAACATGCGGATGCCCACACCATGCTCATGTGGATGCCCGCATCTCATCTCACGCGGACATTTCAACTCACAACATGGTATGCTAACACAGGCCAACAACACCAAGTCATTAGCCTCAATGCAACAGCACCATAGGACCTCGTACAGAGACTCATATGAACATAAATGTTCTCCCATCTGAGCAGGAAACTGAAAGAGGGCAGATAGATCCCCATCAGCGTACAAAGGCAAGCAGCAAGAGCAGCAAAACAAGGGTTTTTCTCGAGGCGCAGGTTCCCACAGCCATTCCGCCTGCACCATTTGCCTGGGCCGATTCTCGCACAACATCCAGCAGTGCGATGCAAGCAACTTATGGGACAAGACAGGCGAATCATCAGTACAAACGGCCTTTCCCTTTGTTACAGATGGCAGAGACTGGGCGGATGTTTGGCTGAAAACCACAACTCAGCCCACGTGTGTTCAGGCTGCAGCAACAAGGACCATGGAGCCCAGACTTGCCCTCGAGGCAAGAAGGCTTAAGGCCCATACTCCATACCACGCGAGCACATGGCACCAGGCTTTGGAAAAGTTCAGTCTCACCAGTAAATACCCACACATCCCGGGATGCCTTGAAACAGGATTCTCAGGAGGCATTCCCTCCATCGAACATACATACATTCCCCCCAATAATGTATCTGTCACTATACATTCGGAACCCTTTCAGAATATCATCAATGCTGAATTCACTAAAGACCATTTCATTGGCCCGTTTGCAGCCAAAGAGCTTGAGTCAATCATCGGGCCATTTCAGATGTCTCCACTCTCCATTATTCCTAAGCCCAGCAAACCCAGCAAATTTAGACTCATACAGAACTTATCCTTCCCCATTAATCCACTCCCACCCATCAGATTAATCAATTTGAGGGTTGATTCAAACCTTTTTCTGTGTACATATGGCACCTTCACTACCATTTGCAGAACCATCCAAAGCTTACTGCCTGGCTCCCAGGTGGCCATACACAACGTAGCCAAAGCCTACCAAACAGTACCGTTGCACCACTCCTAATGGGCCGGTCTGGTCGTGCGCCTACCAGGCAATGACACATTCACAGTCGACACGGCTCTGTGTTTCAGCTTCAGACCCTCAGCAGGCATCTACAGTAATGTTGCAGATGCAGGAGCAGACATCTTTAGAGCATCAGGACTCGGTCCTGTATCGAAATGGGTGGACGATTACATATTTTTCCGCATTAAGCGGAAATTTTTGTTGGAATATAACAATAGATGTAAGAAATGGGCAGAACAAATCACATATAATGTAGGGCCCATCATTGATCGCAGTAGGAAATGGTATAGAGGAAAAATTTTACTGGATGACTCACATAAGGAATTCGACAAAGACTGTGCATTCCCAATCAAGGATCTCTCATCAGCATCACTCCATTCAGCGGAGGATGTGCAATTCACGTGTTGCATGGCCGACATTGACTGTGAATCCCAGCCATTAGGCATCATATGGGAAACATTGAAAGACAAGGTATTCAGCCCCAACCCAAACTACACAGGAATCCTGTGGGACATCCCCAAGCTCTCAATATCACTATCAGCAGAAAAGACAGCTAGATACCTGGGAGCTATTGACACGTGGCAAGCACGCAGCATGCACACCCTGCAGGAAGTACAAAAACTGTACAGGAAATTGCTACATGCAGCGCTCATCATACCGGCAGGTCGGGCCTACCTCACCAATTTGGAGCGAATGCTGGGGATATTTAAAGACCACCCTTTCCTACCTCACACTCCCCTGCACAACACTGCAGCAGACCTCAATTGGTGGAAAGAAACCCTCAGTGCCCCAAATCTCTTGTGCACAATCCCAGGTTGTTGCATTTCACACAATTTTTATGCTTACTCAGATGCTAGCACTGGTCATGGGATCGGAATATTTATCAATGGGAGATGGGGGGCATGGGACCTGCTCCCAGGGTGGAAGTGGGACAACCGAGACATCGGATGGGCCAAAAGCATTGGTTTTGAACTCTTGGTGCTCACAATCCTCAGTTCCTGCCCCGCCAGTATTTATTTCAAGGTTTGTGGAGACAATTGTGGGGTTGTTGAAGGGTGGTGGTCTGGCCAGAGTAGAAACAAGGCCTGCAACAAGGTCTTCAAGCGCATACACCTTGCCGCAAGTGCTACTCAATGCACAGTTCTTACTAGATATGTGCCAAGAAAAACCAACCCCACAGATGGACCATCCCGCGGTGTATATCCCCCCATTTGCCAAATGCTCCCACCAATCCCCATCCCCATCGAGCTCCGTCCTTTCATCATGGACATATCCAGTAGCACCATCAAGCACAGATCACGACACCCCAGACCCCAACTTAAGCAGGTTCACGCAATGGTCAAAGAGCACCAGCCTAGCGAGCTCCAGAGACATGCCCTCCTCAATTACGAGCTTGAGTGACAAGGAGAAGAACTATTCAAAGCATCAAAAAAGTAGTAGGTACACACTACAATACAGACATCAACTCCATTGACATACTAACAGCTTATAATGTTAACCTCTTGCCCTCACCCTCACCACTCAGACCACACTATCCAACATAGGATAAGCTATACCTATGGGTACCTGCATCGTCGCGATCCCCAAGAGACGCCCAGGGCAAACAGTTACCATTATTGCAGCCTGAAATCGAGAAGATTTGAGATGTCATGTTACATGCATATGCGAAGAGTACGCAAGAAAACTACGGATCAGGATTATTAGTGTATCATGTATTTTGCAACTAGTGCTGCTGTGGTCTGGTTCAGTCCGGTTCTGCGAAATCATTGAACCCAGAACCAGACCATTGAGAACCATTCTCAATGGTCCGGTTCAGTTTTTTTGCGGTCTGAACTCGAACCAAACCAAAAGAATTTCTGTATGGACAGCAAAAAAATTGACGAAATACTAGTCTACACATTGAGTAACTACTCTAATAACATTTGTGTGTACTCCTCTGCCTCTGTAGCTGCTGAAAGATGTCCATGACGGTAAGCGGCCTTCATGAAAATGATCGGCCATGTGAACTCACTCCCAGGGGACTGGATTGGGGAGCAGCCGCTGAAAACGCAAATAAAGGGCAAGTCTGTTTTGCGGCATTGGCAACAGTTGTGGTAGGGGAAGGTGCAGCAGTAGGCTTTGGGATCGTGCTCGCAGGCTTCTTGCCAAAGTCAAACTTCAGCGGTGCAGATGTGGATGGGGCAGAAGTTGGGGCAGTGTTGCTTGAAGTGGTACTAAATATCGATGGTGAGTTAGCTTGTATCGATGTAGATGTTGGCATCGAGGAAGGTAGTATACTGGGTTGGTTTTGTGAAGGGGAATGGTGCTGGTGCAGAGAAGGGATTGGTGGATGTGGAAGTAGGTGCAGCGAACAGCAGCTGTGCGGCCATGGGACCAAAAGAACACGAAGGAGCTGCAGGTGCAGGCATCAACGGTGCAATTGGCTTAGTGAAAAAGTCTGGTATGGAGGGTGTAGATGATGTTGTAGGTGCAGTGGTGGTGGTTATTTGTGGAGTAGACAAGGTAGGGAATAGGCTGGGTTTATTGGCAACAGGAGCTGAGGGTACCTGAAATGTAAGGTTAGTATCAAGTCAAAAACTTCAAAACAATTTGAATGAGACAGTCGATAGGAAGACGGCTTTCACCAGTGACAAAAAGGATACATGCACATAATTATAGAGCCTGACTCAAATGAGATTTTTTTTAAAAAAAGAATTAAATTCAGATGCACATACCTGTAATTTGTGGGTGGACGACGGCAAGATGGAGCTGAGTGATGGTTCAGTCTGGATGATTGGTGGGATGCAAATCAAAGGTGCCTTGAAAAAGAGAAATAGAAAGTCATGTGAGAAATTGATTGATTAGTACTTACCTTGAAAAGGCTGAAGGTAGCCTGATTAACCAATAGTGCAAATCCCGAAGACAGCAGTTTGATGTGGAGACTGACTTTGTTGCAGTTGCAGTCGAATTTGAAGTCGATAATGGTTTGGAATGGTTTGGCCTTGCCGAACCAGAACGGGACCATTCAGGAAGACCTAGAACCGAGAACTGTTTTCCGGTCCGGTTCTGGCTGATGTGAGAACTGTGGACCGAACCATGGAGAACTGGACCAAAAGTCCAGTTTGAACCATGGTTCTGGACCAGACCACGGCAGCACTATTTGCGACAGCAAAATGATTCCAGAGAACCAGTGTGCACCGGCAAGCCAGGTGCTAATATTCCTGTTCATCACCAAAATGGCTGGTGTAGAGACTCATTCCTGACTAGGCTTGTAGATACTGTCTTTACCTTATGTTTGCTATTTTGTAGCTTACATAATCAAGTTACCTCTTCACCAGTTTCCAGCACCTTGAGTTTGAGTTTTCGTAGTTTCCTCACTCTCTGAGCTTTGAGCTTAGTACAGAAACCCTTTAGGGTCGAACACTGTCTTCTAGACAACGTAGCTAGGCAGCAAGACCCAACATTGTTCAGACTAACCATCTGAATTGTTGAACCTTCACTGGTCATTATTCAGGAAGAACCATAGCCAACTATGTGTACAGTGTCAGAGCATGGCACACATTGCACGGTGTTGCATGAACGCTCGGAGAAGATGCAGAGATCGATGCACTACTCAAAGCAGCAAGCTCCTTAGCTCCAATTTCCTCGAAGAAGCCAAAGCAGGATCCTTACACCATCCCTGTCATCCTGACCATCCGCCAAAAACTCCATATCAGCAACCCGCTTGACACAACCATTTACACATGCCTCACAACAATTTTCTTCACATGCACTCGTGTTGGCGAATTCACCGTGCCCCGCCTAGACACTTTCGACCCTAAGATCCACATCAAACCTTCAGACATTCAAAACATGCGGTACCACCAAGGGCTTGAAATGACCAATTTTCACATTCCTTGAACCAAAACAGCGATAGATGGGGAGGATATATTTTGGGTGTGTCAATCAGGGCTCACAGATCCAGAGGAAGCACTGTGCAACCATAGGCACATTAATAACCCTCCACCAAAAGGTGTGCTCTTTGCATACTGGCACAAAACATCCCACCATCCTCTCACAAAAACAAACTTCCTCAAGAGGCTGGCAAGCACAACCAAAGAAGCCGGCATACAGCCATTACAAGGCCATGGGATACGCATCAGAGGAATGCTCAAATACCTCCTACAGAACGTCCCATTCGATGTAGTAAAGGTCAAGGGCAGGTGGGCGAGTGACATGTTTGTAGTGTATCTCTGTAGGCATGTGCAAATCCTAGCGCCCGCATTACACAAAGAATTCCTCCGATACACCTTACCACTGGTTCGGTAATCTTGGTAAGTCACATTGTCCTCCTCCTAAAGATTCGGGATGTCACATTGTTTGCTGCACGCATCATCAGACTCCTAAAATTCGGGATAGCAGCTCACTTTTTGTTCCCCTAGAACAAAGTCCTATCAGAGCCGGGAGGCGCCGCGCACCTTCGCCCGTAATCTATCTCTCCAAATACCTTGAACTTGCAAATAGTGTGTCGCACATTCTAGTAGTCAAGTTCAAATGTTAGTTTTCATTGCCACACAAAAGAGACGCCAGAGTGAACCTCAAAGACACCTAATACTTGTTTGAACGAGACAGCTCACAAATTTATATTGGATCTTGCTACATATGCATGTACTATGGGTAATCAATCAATGTCCATGTCTTTCTGAGTGATGAGGGAGTGGTTGAATATGTCTGCCAGTGCCAACGTGTCAGTCCAACTAGCCCTGAAGGACTCACCAAGCCTTCAATACAAAAAAGCTTGACGCTTGGCATATGCTATCAGTCCCTTGCACTCATCATCATCATCCATGTCATGTAAGGTATCTTCAAGCCCTCACTTGTCCCATCATTGCACATTCCATTCAAAAAATTGTAGGATTCTCCACATCTCTTCCTTCAGCAGCTCCACCTCTTCAGCCCAGTGCATCGCCTGTGCCCTAGCTTTGCACCATTCAATTTGCCTATCTAATTAACCACAAACCTTAGGAAGCCTCCAAAACAGAAACAAAGTACACGCCTTCCAAAGCATTGTCCTTGTCCATCTCATCAGGTGCTGCTCCTCACATATTCCAGATCCAAGATAGTTTTATTGTCCCCTCTGATTTCCCCCATAATAGATCTGTCATCAAGCGGCTTGGTTTAGTGACCACAGTGAGGAGTGCCACCCAGTCTGATTCAGCAGTGATGCAAGAACTATGAGAGCCTTATGGGCACACTCATATGTGCTGGTGGCAGCCTCAAGCTTTGCTTCAACTGCTTTGAGGTATTGTGTGCCCTCATATTTGCTCCTTGTTCACAAAGGTTGCAATCTTTATACTTGAGGATTGCACTCTGAGCACGCAAGTTTGAACATAGGGAATGGAGTGCATTGTGAGCTTGTGCATACCAGAGCTTCTATTTGATGGTTTGGAGGCAGGCGTCACAAGGTGCTGTCCTGCCGATTTTAAATGATAGCCAGAGTTTGATGGTTTCTGATGTAGCTACCTGCAGCAGTGATGTCACCAGATACTGAACTCTCATTGACATGTAGTGCAGCAAGCGACGGCATGTATAGTTGCTGTGATTTAGTTCAGGCATTGATCCTGCATTGCAGAGTGTTATTCCACTGAAGCATATTCCCTTCTTGAGTGTCTGATACATGAACTCAAGCCTGGCTCTGTCAGCTTTCATTCGCCATCTAGAAAAAAGTGAGACAAAGATCTCATATGCAGCAGTTGGCAGACTTACTGTTGCTCCTCAAGTTGTAAGCTGGTGCTGATCAATACACCAGGAGTACAGTCCTCATGTAGTGCAAGGCAAATCCCCATTTAAATATCACTCTGGTCATCCCTAGCCAGTTCCAGTCGCACAGAAGCCATAGTGACAGCTACAATGCATGGAAAGATCAGCACACAGTGACTGATGATGATCCATACATACTTTCTGCCTTTTGTTTGAAAGAATTTGGCTTTGCAGGGTCACACTTCCAAGCCTCTACCTGTTCTCTCCACTGGGTGAGAGTGGCACTATATTCACCTCTCAAACTGTCTTCAAGGTTGTCAAGGGCTTTGTGATGATTCTGTCACTCTGGTAATGCATCCTTCATCTTGTGAAGCATAGTACAACCTGATGATAAAGGAGGTCAGTCCAAATACGCTCTTCAAGACCAAAACTGCCTTGGCATAGTAAGGGGTCGATGTATTATCAAGATGACCAGATGGTAAAAAAAAATACATAATACATCTGCAGAATCCAGTGTTGGAGTAGTTGAGGTTGAGGTATCCAGTTGCAATTAAGTATAACTTTAGTGAAAATGTACAAACCAAGTCCAATTACTTTTTTCAATTTGAGTCTCCAAAGTAGTCATCAAGGGTGTCTCGCCGCACACCAGGACCCATCTCCTTGATACTTGAAGCGATGGGGTTGATATTGGCCCAGCCACGCTCGAGTAAAAGAAGATAGTCTTGAAAGCAGGCAGAAAGTGCATTGAGACTGGAAATGTACTCATATGGTGCCATAATTTTTTGTGCCACTGACACTGTCACAACCCAAATAACGAATTAACGCTTGGGCAGAGACTAGGACTCGACTAAGGTTATTGGACAAGAGAGAGAGAGGAGCAAGTACGTCTTGGATTGCTATGGTATAGATACAAGAGGTTTGAACTAAAGAACTATCAACCAAGACATGCTACCTATATACAACTATTGAGACGGAGATTGAAACTGAGCTACAACTACTAGCCAATCATAAAATAGAAAAGGGAATCATACCATAGAACATCGTAGAATATTAAAGAAGCATCACGTGACCATATCTTATCTTATCTTATCCAATCTAATCTAATCACAATCAAAGAACTCGTCTTCTTCATCAGTCACATCGAAGACACGTGTCGTGGGCGCTAAGGGAATCTCTGAACTGGTAGACGCTTTCAGTGTAGGGTTAGGGTTTGACTTAGGTGCTGTGTATTGGCGCTTAGGAAGATTCAGGAAAGAATAGTGGTTTGTTAAAGGTACTCGTGACAGACACACAATATCATAAGATATGTTCAGAGTGTTGATTACAGTGTGACACAGTGTCAAGAAGAATAAATAATCCATGTTGATATATCTATAGACTGTTAGATCACCAACATCTGAATGCAAAACACAATTTACCTTTCACCCTTTTGGAGATCTCCAACAGCATTGGGCCATTTCATGTTGTGGCAAGCACAGTCGACAGTACCTAAACCTGTGGCAGCAAGTCCATAGTTATATTTTGTGTCTGCCATGTTCACAGCATTGTGACTTGAGCATGTTGATTTCTGTAGAGCCTCATTAATACATGAAATTTTTCTTTAAATAAAACAACCTCTTGGGTATTGTGCGAATTGCTGTCCAAGAAGCCCTTATAAGCTTCATCCTCCATGAAATAGGCCCAGCCAGAACTTAGGCTTTGTGTCTTCTTATATAGATGATCTAGATGAGCACCTACAAAATCAAATATCTCCATGGTCAGCAATTCAGACAAATACCAATGACTGATAATGTGGTCGTTTGTGGATGGCCTGTCAGAATATCCAAGCTATGGTCAGACAAAGGTACTCTACGATATCAGTATAGAAACACTAGTCAACCTAGTGATATGGTGTTGACAAAAAGAAACAAGAAACAGAAACAAAAACTAAGACTAAGCACAATCAATGGTGCTAAACAGAAATGAGAACTAAGACTAGGCACAATCAATGGTGCTATATTCTAAACTTACTATGAAACAATCGTGTGAAGCTGTATTGTCACTCCCACGGTGCAAACAGGTAGGATCAAAGGTCAAGACTTGTCAAAAGCTTCCATAGAACTCTTAGTCTAATATTGAATCTGCTGCCAAGGAACTCACAATGAGTATTGAACAGAATCAGAAACAGACATCCTTGTATTTCAATACCAAGTCCCCTATTCAATAGCTAAAGCCTATCTGACAAATAACAGTCCTGGCTCAGTATACTGCTCAGATGTATGAGGTCAAGTGAACAATAATCAACTTCTGAAGTCTCCCCACTAAGCTACTCTGAGCCTTTAGCAGACATAGAGACAACATAAAGAATCAGAGATAAGGCTCGAATGTATTTGCTAAAATCAAGAATATGTTAGTAACAGCAGTAAGAAACAAACACTCAGAGTATATTCACTAAAATCTATAACACATTAGTAACACGACAATAAATGAGCACTCAGACTGTTAGCTTTCAATGAGTAGAGAGAGTGAAACAGATCCTGAGCTAAAGAAATAGATAGAGTGAAACAGAACCCAGACTAGTGAAACAGAGATAAGGAAATAGATCCCAAGCCTAGAGAAAAAGAGATAAAAGAAATAGATCCCAGACTAGAGTGAAATAGATCCCAAGCCTAGAGAAACAGATAAAGAGATAGAGACACACATACACACTGTTACAGCAGGCTATTCATTTTCCTTATCTCCACCTCACCTTAGACACATGTCTTACTTCTTGATTGCCGTCTTGCTTCTAGCGCAACTCATGTAGTACATGAGGACTCCATGAGGACCCCTATCTTTTCCCCTTTGCCCTATTTCCTTTCCTGTACTTACTAGAATGCTCTTCCCTTGGTCCGTGCACTCTTCTCTTACGTATATAAACCCTAGTTACTTGACTTGTATTCCTTAACTTGAATCTACTCGGTTCTCGATTCACTTGATTCTCTGAATAGGCCTGTGGGTGCCTCTTGAATCCGATCTTGCCAAGGTTCTACCCTTGGTCGTCTTGATGCTGTACTCTTGATCCTCTTTATTGAGGCAGTTACAGAAGACTCCATCCAAGTCCGTAACATAAGATTCAAGTTACTTCTGAACCTTCGCTATACAGCTTAGGCCCCCACCCTTGATCCAGAACCCCCTTGTGTTTCTTAGCATTAGGGCACTTACTCTGATAGAACCCCTGAACCACCACACCTGATTCCTTGCTGTTGTACACAAGGACAAACCCAATCCACAACACCTCCATCAAAGGCAAAGCAAGGCGCTTTTTTAGAAGCGTACTCCCCATACTCCAGATCCCCCTCTGCTAACAGACCAGCAGCCATGATGTCACCATTCGCTTCACTCGGACTTGGACCCATTGCATCCTCGTCCTCTGAACCCCAGTTTATCAACACACCTAGCGTACCTGTGTTAGATAGGGATGAAGAAATCCCATTTGTACCCACCAAACCTCAGCCTAGACTAGCTGAGCCTGAACCTATTTCAGAACCTATTCCTGCACCCAGACCCACCTTTGTACCCCGTGCTTTTGTGCCACAGCGCCCTAAGCCCAGATTCACCGAACCCGACTCAGGCTCAGAAGACAAATATTGTCCTTCTAGAAGAATGCCAAAAATCCACGAAAAGAAGATCGGCACACCCCCTGACTTTGATGGCAACAAGGAAGATGCCACAAAATTCCTCCATCTTTGTAATCTTTACTTAGACCTGAACTGTCACATTTACGACAAAGACAAAGACAAGATGATCTTCATACTCTCTTATATGAAAAGCGGGACCGCTGCTCAATGGATGGAAGACTACATCGACCATGCCCAATCCTTCAATATAGAAGGTGAACAGATTGGATATGGAACCTTCGCCGAGTTCTGTAGAGAATTCAGATCAGCCTTCGACCCAGTTGATCAGACGGGCACTGCCCTCTACAAACTAAACCAGTTGAAGCAAGGTGACGACATTGTGTCGTTCATCACCACCTTCAAGATCCTCTGCAAGAAAGCAGGAATTATGGAGTACTCTGCACAGCGCGACTACTTCCTCAAGGGCTTGAAGCCTGGAACACTGAACAAACTCTGCTATGACGGAACCATGCCTACTACCATGGATGACATCACCAGGAGAATAACCGAGATCGAGAGCACCTACCAGTTGCTTCTCTCTCACCACACCAACTTTGGCAGAAACCAACAGCAGGGTCAACAACAGAAGAAGTCAAACCCTCACTACTACCCTAGGCAGAAGGAACATGACCCCAATGCCATGGATGTCGACCGCATGACCAATGCGGAGAAAACCGAGCACATGAAGAAAGGACTGTGCTTCTTGTGTCACAAGTCCAGCCATCGTGCCAATGACACCACCTTTCATCTGAAGAGAGATGGAAAGAAGAATGACTCAAAAGGAAAGCAATCGGTAAGGCATGCAGCACCTGATGAAGAAGACACCTCCAAGATCGAAGATCTTTCGGACAACGAACTTGAAACCAGAAAGATGGATTTTTGAACCAGGGACCTGCCGCAATGTCAGATATCCCTTATCTCGATGTACGTATTGTTAAGAACGTAGGAAAAACTAAAGAATTCAGGGTCCCGGTGACCGTCTTATCCTCCAAACATCGAAACAAATCGTTGCAAACCACTGCCGTCATTGACACTGGCGCAGTCGCCACATTCATTCATTGGATGTTTGTCAGAAAGCATGGGATCACCACCCATAAACTTTCGAAACCCATCAATGTCAGAACCGCTGATGGTGAAATCTCCAAGCACCAAGTCACACACTACTGCCACCTCGCTATCAAGATAGATGACAGAGTCATGATTGGAAAGTTCAATGTGATGAACATGAACGAACAAGACCAGATCTTGCTTGGAAAACCCTGGCTCACTGCCATGAACCCAGAAATCGACTGGACAAACAATACGATCCGACTCCCCTCTACCCCTCGCTCTCTCCATCTTGAAAGAATTTTCAGGAAGAAATGAGGAGTCCACCAGAAGGCTTCTGTCACAGAAGTTGAAGATCAGGAGCAAGACTGCCCTAGATCAAACCCTCTTCCTTGTGATGGAAAAAGAACCATGGAGCGCATCAAGCGCAAGATTGATAAAGAAGATCTTCCTTCCCTCCTACCTGACCCCGACGAAGAACCTCCCCCTCAGTATGACACTAATTGGGATGTATGGGATGATATCCCTACGGAACAATCTGAAAACTTCTTTGCTAGGAAAGTCGATGATATCACTTCCTATACCCTCAATGACGACGAAATCCTTATCGAGTATGCCGAAGACAGCTCCTCGGTAACGCTTATCGAAAACCTCACATTCAACTCATCTCTCATGCGTGACGGAACCTCAGCAACTGAAGTTCGCCGTGCCGCTTCCCTGAAGCCTCTTCGGAACCACTGGATCTACGCCAGAAAGGCAGAAGAAGAAGAATACTTGAAAACAAGCAATAAGGCGCAAGAATTTGCCCTTAAAGATGCTCAAGAAAAGAAGAAGAAAATGTTTGAAGAGCTCGTCCCTGACTACCTTCATGACTTTGTCGATGTTTTTGCCAAAGACGGCTTAAACCAACTTCCTCCCTCCCATCCAGGAGTAGATCATCGCATCAAAACGAAACCTGGATTCATCCCTAAGTCTGCAAAGACTTATCCCTTATCCCTGAAATAAACCAACACTGTGAAAGTGTTCATAAATGAACATATCGCCAAAGATTTCATCCAACCATCGAAATCACCACAAGCCAGTGGATTCTTCTTCATTGGAAAGAAAGATGGCTCACTCCGACCCTGCCAAGACTATCGTTACATCAATGAATGGACGATAAAGAACACCTACCCACTTCCTTTGATTCCTCCCCTGATTGTGAAACTTCGAGATGTGAAGTATTTCATGAAAATGGACGTCCGATCTGGATATAACAACATCCTGATCCACCCTGATGACCACTGGAAAGCAGCATTCACTACCTCCTTTGGACTTTTTGAACTGAAAGTCATGTTCTTTGGGCTGTGCAACTCGCCAGCAACTTTCCAAGCATACATGAACCAGACATTTCAGAAAGAAATCAATGAAGGATGGATGATCATGTATATGGACGACATCCTCATTTTCTCGAAAACTCTCCAAGAACACCAGGAACGGACTCGCCGTGTCCTAGAAATTATCCGAAAAGAAACCCTTTTCCTGGAACCCGAAAAATGCCTCTTCGACACACAAGAAGTTGACTATCTCAGTATGATCATTCGCCCTGGTCAAGTAGCCATGGACCCCGCCAAGCTAAGTGGAATTAGCCAATGGCAAACCCCCACCTCCGTTAAAGAAGTCAGATCATTCCTTGGATTCTGCAACTTCTACCGACACTTCATCTCCCATTACTCCAACATCTCCCGACCCTTAATCGATCTCACCAAGAAAGATGTCCCATTCTCTTGGAATCCCGCTTGCACCGAATCCTTCGAGAAGCTAAAGAAATGCTTCCTCTCTGAACCCATTCTCCAAAATCCTGACCCTTCCCGGCAATTCGCCCACTGATGCTTTGCTTGTAGCAACCAGAGCAGTCCTTCTCCAGACTGTTGAGAATGGAGCCTACCATCCATGTGGCTACCTCTCTCAATCTTTCAATCCTGCAGAAAGAAACTATCAGATCTATGATCGTGAACTCCTTGCCATTATCTGAGCTTTGAAAGCATGGAGGCACTACCTTGAAGGGAACCCACACCCTGTCATCGTATTCACGGATCACAAGAATCTATTGTACTTCCGATCTGCACAGAACCTCACCCGCCGACAAGCACGTTGGCAACTGATACTGAATGAATTCGATCTCAAATTGCATCATGTCACAAGAAGCAAACTCGCAGCTCCTGACACACTATCACGCCGCCCTGATCACATAGCAGAAGCATCTGATAACAATGACGTTACTTTGCTTCTGAACTCCCTCTTCCACAGAATCATCGACATTGATCTCGCAAAGACTTTGAAAGATGCATCTGTATCTCTTTCCGACCCAGTCATAGTTGTGGCCCAGCAAGCCCTTGACAGGCTCAATGCACCTCCCATGAAGTCAGCATTATCTGACTGGAAAATTGAAGATGGCACCTTGTTCTACAAGAACCATGCCTATGTTCCCCCTCTCCTCCGACACCGCATCCTGAACCTCCACCACAATCACCCAACCGCCAGACACCCCAGATGATTCAAAACTAAAGAACTAGTCAAGCGTGACTACTAGTGGCCCGGAATGGGCACATTCATCCAAAAATATGTCGAAGGCTGCGCTATTTGCCAGCAAATGAAATCCAACACACACCCTTCTTCCCCTCCCCTGAACCCCATCCCTTCCTCCACGATGCGCCCCTTTTCCCAGATCTCCATGGATCTTATCACGGATCTTCCCGAATCCTCCAGATATGATCCAGTCATGGTCATGGTAGACCATGGGCTTACAAAGGGGGTAATTCTCTGTCCCTGCAAGAAGACGATCACCGCAGAAGGAGTCGCTCAACTCTTCTTCAAGAAAGTCTTCCTCCGATTTGGCCTATATGACAAAATCATCTCTGATGGAGGTCCCCAGTTTGCCTCTAAATTCGCAAAAGAACTCAGAAAACTCCTCGACTATGAAGTCGCTCTTTCCACTGCCTACCATCCTCAGACTGACAGGCAAACAGAACACCTGAACCAAGAACTTGAAACCTACCTCCGAATCTATTGCTGCTGTACGCCCACTGAATGGGTCAAGCACCTTCCTATGGCAGAATTCGTGCACAACCACCGAAAACATGATGCTCACAATGCCTCTCCCTTCTTCCTCATGATGGGATATGAACCCTGAGGAATCCCTTATGCCTTCCCTGAATCTTCAATTCCCGCAGCAGAAGATTGTGTCAAACATCTTCAGAAGATCCGAGAAGAGGCTCTTGCTTGCCACAATCTTGCAATGCAATGCATGGCTGATCAGACATCAGGAAAGAAGTTCGCCCTGTGGAAACCCAGAGACAAAGTATGGCTCTCCGCAGCACATCTCATCACTCACCTACCTTCGAAGAAGCTCGCTCCTAAGTGATATGGACCCTTCACAGTAGAATCCACACTTTCCCCCATCACTTTCAGAATCCGACTCCCTGACACGTGGAAATCACACCCTGTATCTCACGCTTCTGAACTATCGACCTATCACGAAACAGAAGTTCATGGTCCAAACTTCACAGAACCACCTCCTGACATCATCAACAGTCAGGAAGAATATGAAATAGAAGCTGTTCTCGCCCATAAATGAAACACAAAAGGAAAACACCACTTCCTTGTGTCCTGGAAAGGATACCCAAACTCCGACAACTCATGGCTTCCTGAAAAGGAACTTCAGAACACCCAGGAAATCCTGAAAACCTATAAAAACTGCCTAGGACTCTCCAGAATCCTCATCTGAACTAGAATGAACAATGCCTTCCTCCAAGAACTCGTCTTCCTCCTCTCTTGAATCATTCCACATCAAGCTTGACACAGCTCGGAGGCAAGCCATTGTCGAGGCTGCTCTTCTCTCCCCCTCTTGTATTCTACATTTTGAACATTTCTTTGCTGATGACGAGGATGCCCTCGCCCAGATTACCACTTTCCGTTCCATGAACCTCATTGTTGCCTATGCCTCCCTGCACCCTGACGCTACTCAGTCACATCTTATCATATCCCAAGCCATAAAAATCAAGCATCTTACAATGAAAATCCTTATTAGAAAGAAAATTGAGGACGCGCTCCTCTCCCCTGACTTCCCTTGCGCCAGAGACTCTCTCTGCTCACAATCCTATTGTTATACCGCATCACCGGAACCTGTCGAACAGGTCGGTTCCTACTTCCCCTTCATCTCCCTCTTCAAATGATGACACCCCCATTTCCCCATCCTTGTCACTCCCAGCTTGCTGTTCGCACTGGTGGAGCCCCTCGTCGTGCAAGAAAGCAGAAAAGAGAAGTCGCCTTTGGCGTCAGACTTTCCTGCCCTATCCGACCTCGACCTGAATCTATTAAGGAAGAGAAGGAAGATCAGGAGGATATCATCATCACTCCTTACACCCACACCCAGTCCAAAGAGACCTTCCGTGATCGCTGTGGAAACTACACCTCCACCATCACCTGTCGGTACTGCAGCCTTGAAGGCCATCGGCAGATCAACTGCCCCCGTTATTATTGCCACGTATGCATGACTCATGTGCCAAAACATCTCTCTGCATTCTGCCCTGATCTTAAGGGTACTAAAATTATTAACGCCAAACCAGGCACTCATGCATTCCATTATCAACTCAAACAATGGGAGAACACTCGCGATAACGAAGCTGATGAATTCGAGGCGCAGGTCACCCGTGACGCTGATCTTGACCCGGAGCTCTATAGGAACGAGGATTTCTGATGTCAGTGACTTCAGATGTTAACAGGAGGGTAATGTTACAGCAGGCTATTCATTTTCCTTATCTCCACCTCACCTTAGACACATGTCTTACTTCTTGATTGCCGTCTTGCTTCTAGCGCAACTCATGTAGTACATGAGGACTCCATGAGGACCCCTATCTTTTCCCCTTTGCCCTATTTCCTTTCCTGTACTTACTAGAATGCTCTTCCCTTGGTCCGTGCACTCTTCTCTTACGTATATAAACCCTAGTTACTTGACTTGTATTCCTTAACTTGAATCTACTCGGTTCTCGATTCACTTGATTCTCTGAATAGGCCTGTGGGTGCCTCTTGAATCCGATCTCGCCAAGGTTCTACCCTTGGTCATCTTGACGCTGTACTCTTGATCCTCTTTATTGAGGCAGTTACAGAAGACTCCATCCGAGTCCATAACACACACATACAAATACAAATACTCAGAAAAACAAAAGACTTCTCAAAACAAATATAGGCCTTGCAGGTTGTTTAGCACAGTGAGCTCAATGGCTCCTACTGTCTCATCAATGTACCTGACTATGTTGAACAGCTCTTTGCTGTTGTTGCTGATGCTGATCACATACAAACCTCACTCGCAATTTTATTAAGGTGATTCTGGGGAATCTGATTGATTGCTTTTCAGGCCAAAAGGGAGGTCCTTATATAGACAAATCTATGTGCTAATTTATTCTCGTGTACCTAGATATATTCAATTTTCATTTTCTCATGTATCTAGATGTACTGCATTATTTGTCATAGATCATAATACTCGTGTGAATTGTACATAGGGGAACATGATTTGTCAGGCTTACTCATAGATCAGCTGACTGTGGTAAGAGAACATGGTTTACATAATGTGTTGAAACTTGTTTGTATTTGGTGTTGTTTAGAGATGTAGCATATGACATATAGCAAAACTGGGTAACACGTTGAAGATGAGGAATCTAGACTGTGGAGAAAGTTGGTGCTAAGCTAAGCAAACACAGATAGACCCGGGTGCGAGTGAAATCGTCATCCCAAGGGCAGCTAACTGAGTAAAGGAAACCTCTCTTTGTAAAAAAAGAGGGACACCAAACAACTAATGAAATACTAGGGCTAAGTAATGCGCGAAGCGGAAACGATGCAATGTACGGAAGGTGAATGCATGCAATGACGTGTGAGTGTGAAAAGTGAAGGTCGAGGTGTGCGACGTGAAGGTAGCGCGCGCGAGCAAAGGCGAGGGACAAGCGAGCAAGAGAAGCAAGGGAAAGATGAGATGAGACAAGTGTTAACACCCCAACTAAGGTTGGCTGATGCTAAGATGGAGACCGTGAACTGAAGTGTGCGACTTTAAATAGTCACTTGCAAACAACGAGTACAATTCTTAGTATCTAGAGACACACAGAAAGTGGGCGGAAAATCGACCCAGAAAATAGAGTAAAGAGATAGTATAAGTAAAGTAGCTAAGCGGCGCTAGGCACGCAGGTCTGATGTAATGAGCCAAACAGAATAAAAATAGTATGTGATGTATGTAACAGGGTCTCGGTTACGCGTGAAGCGCAGAGCTGAGAATTAGCGATAGAAACCAATTAATCGAAAAGGGAATATGATGGGAAAACGCACCAATGAACATCTAAGGACATGGGATGGATGGACAGACCAATGCACAGACAATGCGAGTGAGGATGTGTGAAGTGCACAAACCCGCAAGGTTGCATGCGAAACCTGTGGATTAGAGCTGGAGTTTGTAGGGAAAGTGGGAGAATTCGGAAGGAAGTGTCTGTGGAGATGCGAGGCTCTACAACATGTATTTAAAGTTTCCTGGAAGTTCCCGCAAACAAACATATGCAGGAAATATTTTTCATGGATACTTCAGATGTGTGAGAATCTGGCTGAGTCATCTTTGAGCCAAATAACACAAAATTCATTCCATGCAAAATTCCCGAAAAATATTCACTAGCAACCGCTCAGTCATGCACTGGACCAGTTTGGTGCAGGTCATCAGTGAAGATGAGGAATCTGAACTGTGGTTAAAGTTGGTGCTAAGTCTATGAATATTCACCCTTATCTTAGGAGACGGGTGCATGTCCAATTGGTACTGGGGGTCCCACAGTCATGTGACTTGGCACATGACTGAACACGCACAGAGTGCTCAACATGTAATAAATCCTGGAACAGGGGGAGAGCCCCTGGGCCTGGTCATATACCTAAAGGGAATGCCCATCATGTGGTGCTTAGGTTTAACCCACTCTTGGCAACTCAGACTAGGGTGGTCAAGGTTATCACAACCAGAATCCACTTTAGGTGCCTTATAATTGAGTAGTTGATCACACTCAACACAAGCAAGGACGATTAGGGTGGCAGTTAAGCCCTCTGACAAGCCCCTTCATACAGGCGAAATCATAGACCTTAGTCTTTGCTGGTTCAAACCTGCTTAGATGCCAACTAAGCAAACACAGCTAGACCTGGGTGCAAGTGAAAATGTTGACCCAAGGGCAGCTAACTGGGTAAAGGGAAACCTCTCTGATACAAAGAGGGACACCAAACTACTAATAGGGTAATAAGACTAATAGACACATGAAGCGCGAGGCGAGAAAGATGCAAGATGTGGTATGCGGACGCACGAGTGCGAAAGGTGAAGGGCAAGGTGCGCAACGCAAAGGTAGTGTGCGCGAGCAAAGGCAAAAGGCAAATGAGCAAAATAGATGAACGAGGGACGAGGCGAGATGACTGTTAACACCCCAACTAAGGTTGGCTGATGCTAAAGCGAAAGGCAGACAACTTATGCATGTGACTTTAGATAGCCACTGCAATCAACAAGTAAAATTCCCTAGTATCTAAGGACACAGAGAAAGTGGACAGAAAATCGACCCAGAATATAGAGTAGAGGGATGGTATATGTAAAATAGCTAAGTGCCGCTAGGTGCGCAGGTCCAATGTGACAAGCCAAATAATCTAAATATAGTATGCAAAGTAGGTAATAGGGTCTCAGCTGCATGTGTAGTGCTAAGCCGAGTATTAGCGATGGAAAACAATTAGTCAAAATGGGAATATAGTGAGAAAATGCACCAATGAACATCTAAGGACATGGGAAGGAGGGATGGACAGTTATGTGGACGATGTGAAGGTGGACACACAGTGTGCGCGAGATGTGAGTGGCTGCGCACGGAATCTGCAAAATAAAACATAGTGCACTACTGTGCAAGACATATCCTTTGGATTAGAGCTGGAGTGTGTTAGGAAGATGGAAGAAGTGTCTGTGGGGATGCAAGTCTCTACATCAGGTCCACACTGTCATTTGAGACAACCTTGTGTTTCAACTGGAAATTTGCATCAATAGCAAGGAACAATCCATAGAGCCAACTGATAGTATCTATATAAGCAATAATACCACTCAAGCTCATCTAAACCAACCATTGAAGTGCATCTTTCCAATTAGCTGAAAGGTTCTTCCCTGGATGTGGACAAGCTGGACACAATACAGCGCATTCACCTTGAGTGGTCACATCTACTCCCTTTGGATCATGACCTTGCCCTGAGCATTTGAGGATCTTCAGGTGACGCCATTCACAAATCATCCACATAAATGACTCATATTGATCCTATAAAGAAGCTTTACTGACGATGAGGGTACTTGAAATTTTAATCCTACCTTAACATGAAGTAGACCGGTGTTATCAGACATCTGGTTGAGTGCATGATAAAATTCATATGCAGACATTTTTGACTCAAATGAGAGCAGGTGATACTGCTCCAGAATGCAGAATGTTGCAGCAGTTTTTGGATCTGAGGTTGTTGAAGGAACTAATGACATTCAAAGTAGTTGTTGCATATGACTTTTGGTTGTTGTTCAACCACAGAAGTCAAGTGACACTTTGTGTATACCAAAGGTGTCAATAATGACAAAATCATCATTGAAAGCATGGCGAGGATTGAAACATTGCTGGCCAGTGACATGACCAAGCTGAATGCGAAGGCCTAGGGCTTTCAGAGAAATTGGCTCGAAGTATTGATCATTCCATTTCTGTATTTGAGATTAAGTTGATTATCACAATTAAATGTAAAGACATACCTGCAATCAGTGAAGCAGGTGGTGCACATGGACTGACAAAATACAAGTTGAGCAATAAAGCTCTGACCCCAAGCAGTCCCGGCACTTGTACTGTGGATTGGGACCATTACACTCTACACATGATTGCATGCTGACTCTTTCTTCAAGACAGATCATTTCTCGAAGGAATAATGCTCTGTGATTCAGCCACATCAACAAAGGATGGTCCTGATTAAATATTGTGAGGGGAGAAGTCAAATGACGTGAAATATTGTAGTGCACATACACCCACTGTTCATTTTCTCCTTTGTTAGCCTAAAATGACTAATGATATAACTGACAGAGCCATCATTGTTGATTTGGTACTGGGTATGCTGGCAATAGTGCACTAGTGGTGCTGTGCAATAGAAATTGAGCTTTGGTTCCCTCTTCTGCTTTTGTGAGTTCTTCGAGGTAGAGGACATTGCCTGTGTACATATGGTAGTCTGAACTGGATATGGTGGCCCTATATGAGATGGACCAGGACCCATAGACATTTTTAGATCATGGTGTCAAGCAAACTGAAATTACCCAGTCCCATACACAGCTCTCCAAGCCCAACATGTCATGTGATTTGTCAGACAGTGTCAATGAAGCCAAACTCTTCTTGGGTAATTGAAATTGCTGCATTTGTGCAGCACACTAAATCTCTATCTAGGGATTTTGATTGCTCTTTTTCTCAGCCAGAGTGAAATACCTGAGATACTGGCTACATGCCATGGGCCTCACCAAAAATCTCATATCTCTTCCTTACTCCGATCATCTTCTAACTGAATACATTCTCCCATAATCAGTCCTGATTGTGTTACAAGAACATCTAGAAGCTTGGGCCCCTACCATTTTTCTCCTTATCCTCCTCGTCTCTGCCCTTGCATCACACCCTTACTCCGACCTTGCTCTTGTTATCCTCGTCATCCTCGCATTCCCCTTTGCCCTCTACCTGTTGCTCCAGCAGAGCCAGTACATCTGGCCGGACCCTTTCTCTGACGAAGGATATCCATGCTCTGTTGACTGATCCTATGGACAGTCCCCTTTACCCTTACCGTCCAGACAGTAACCTATGATACGATGCATGCCGCATCCCCTTTACCCTGTTTCCTTTCTTGATCTATGACTCGGTGCGCAGTCGCACATTTGCACTTATATTTAGCTCCGCAGTTGCACAATTGTGCTCCTGCTCGTTTCACTTCCTGTTTCTGTTCTTTGACTTATTTCCTATCTGCACGTTCCGGTTCACCTATGACTCACCTCAAATGTACCTTCCTCTTCTAGTATCACCCTTTGACCAATTCCCTTTCCAGTAGTATGAGTTATTATCCACTAATATGCTTCTTCTCCTCTATATAAACTCGCTACCATGTATCTAGTTCCTTAACTTGAATCTACTTGATTCTTGACCTTCTACTCCTAACAAGAGTGATTCCTTCAGCCTAGCCAGCTGTCTATATTCTACTTTCTTATCTGCTCATCGTGGATAAGTCTTTAGTCTCGATCTTTACTCATTGACTTTGTCGACGAGCAAAGCCTCTGTTAACTAGTCGGACTTCTGTCCTTCTATTAACGCAGATCTTACGATTAACCTTCGGGTATTGTAAGCCCTGTCAGATACGCTTATCGTCAAGCTCCGCTTGACATAAGCTACCCGATTTGGACATAGGTGTTAAACCTTGCTTGCTGAAGCCTCGCCAAGCAAGACTCCTAACTTTGGGCTAGCCCAGAGACGTCCTCGACCATTGACAACACATGCTCTGATTGAGTGTCGCCAACAGATACTATCCAAGTCATAACAGATTGTAGACGGAGCAGCGCTCACATAACTTTAAAACTAATAAGATGTTAGCAAATTTTGCCACTAACGATACAACATCAAACTTACAATATGTCATCTACTGGCTGCGAGCCTACATCAGATAGCACAATGAACTTTCTGTTCCCTGAGAAAAAGTGACTCAATAGTAAAGTAGGTAGGAGCATAATGGCCTGGGGCTTGGAGTTCAGTTTTTATATCATCCCTAAAGTGGATGTTTAAGTATAAAAATGTAAATGAGAGTGAAATCTCACCAGAGATATGATGGAAAAACTCTGATGTAGCAGCCATGAGGAATGCAGTAGAAAGGGGGTTCTAGATCATGCTTGGTGGGCACATTGTAGAATATTCCTTGATATGAAAAAATAAAGTATTCATCTGCCATAGTATACATGGCCTCGTCAAACTCAACACTGCCCTCATACACCATCACAAACTCCTCTGGCTCTACCATGTAGGGTGTTGTAGTAATGTCAAGCCAAAGTGGATCACACATGGAGAGATAGACTGGCAGTAAGGAAATTTTGGGTTAGCTTGATACCTAGCGTTGTCCTGCATGATGTAGGAATCATGCATGGACATGAATACTAGGTGACCCTCAAAAGACAAAGTCTGTTAGCTTAGTCCTCAGACTAGTCAACTCATACCTTGGTTTCAAACCATGGTCCATATTTCCAGTTTTCCCCAAGTTTTACAATCTGAATACATTTTGACAGAAAAAGTCTAATGTGAGATGGGAATCACATATAGACCTAGTTGATGTGAGAAGAGAAATGAAGGTTGAGGTATAGCCTTGCCTTTGGCTTATTCACTTTGGCTGAAAAAACCATAGAGAAAAGTACAAAGCCTATAAAAAACCTATCCAAAAAGACTGTGTTTAACTGTATTATTTTTTTGACTGTGTTTCAATTCCTGCCAACTGTCTTATTTTTGCTATCTACTTTTCTCTAGTGTTTCTTTACTTTACTTTTTCATTAGGATGCTTTGACTCACCTGACACTATAAAATTGTATCCCACAGGGTATGATATCATTATGATGTCATAAGACTCCCCAGATACTCCTGCAGGTATTCTGTTGAAAGAAATTATGTCACCAAGCTCTAGAATATTCTACTCCACAATGACATCATCTATGATGTCATTTCATTCTAGAATATTCTGCTCCACAATGACTCACTCATAGAAGGTTCTGGAATCTTTTGCTCCACAATGATGTCACTCTTGATGTCATCATGATGTCATTACTCCACATTCCAGAATGTTCTGCTCCACAATGATATCATAGCTCCATCTTTTATTTGACCCAATATTTTGATTGGTCTCCTTTATTTTTTATTGTTTGTGAACCTAGGTTACTTTCCCACACAAAATGTATATAAGGAGAGCCCATTCTCCCTCCAAAAAAATATGATCTCTCATTTGTAGCTATCTGCCTCTCAGATATTTCACTTGCAAAGTTAGTCCCTTTGAAGTGAGACAAGTGCAGGGAAAAGAATTCCCTTGAGATTATAAGTTTCTTACCTTAGAAACTTATCTAGTGCTCTAGACCAAGTGTTCTTGGTCTTGTATATTATTTTTGAGACCCCTTTGTCTCATTACTTTGTGCCCTTTGACTGAGTGATCTTAGTCAGCTATTATATTGTTGAGACTACGTCTCACCAGTTGTCTGCATAGACCAAGTGATCTTGGTCATCTTTCCAGTGCCCTTTGTTCAAGCAATCTTGAACATATATTGTATATTTGAGACCGTTGTCACATAGTTCCAGTGCCCATAGACCAAGCGATCTTGGTCATATTTCGTATATTTGAGACCATGTCTCACTAGTTCCAGTAACTCAGTCCAGAGCCTAGAAGGAGATTTCCTAGGCAAATATGTCTCAGAAACCGAATTATATGTCTAGAAGCTTATTCCTAGATAAGAGATTTGAGTTTCAATAAAGAAAAGTAAAGCTCCAGCTAGGTTGATTTTAAAAAAGATTAGTTTAGCAAGCCTCCCAAGAACTCACACATTATCTACCATGAAATAGGAAAAGTCATAGACCATGTTAATCGAGGACTGGCAAGAAGTCTTATCCAAAGTGTAATTGTGGTGTCATTACATTTACATGACTTTATATAAGACCCTTGGTTATTAAGACAGCATTTCCATTGAGACATTGGATCACTCACCCTAGAACATGAGTATTAACATTGAAGCATCAAATTGGTAGTGGCTAACGTGATGGTCTAGTAGAATGAATTTCAAGGATCTTAGGCCCATGGAGGCTAGTGTTTGATATTGGGTTTCAGTACTTGTGTAATATTAAGTTTCGGTGCTTGCAATCACTAGTGTCAGGATTGAAGATTACAAGATTGATGCATCACTAACATTGTATCATAATCATAACTGCAAGGCAGTGATATCACAAGTAGTCTGGTATAATAGCTCACTGTGTGCATGACCTTCTAGCATATTGTGAGGGTCAACCATGACATGCATAAGCAAGTCCTCCAGCACTAAGATAAGGCTAGATGCTTATGGGATATCAAATCGACTTGCTGCAACTCCTTTCCTGTCCCAATAGCCTGCAAAATGATCCCATGAAGTAGCTGGAGACGTTGTTGAATGCCTTCCATACCACCTAGTAATACATTGATTGAATGTGTGCATGTTCCTGCATCACCCGACTAATGAAAATCCTTCACCAGCCCATCGAAAAGTCTTTGTGAGGATCCACCAAGAATATCTGTGAGCACAGCTTTGGCACTTGTGAGGTCTTCCTGCCTAATGATAGTTTAATGTAAAGTTTGGGTAGCTATCAGTAACATGTAGCTCACCATGGGTGTGTTTGTGATAATCTCATATGGACGCTGTACCTGCTATGGCTTGGGAAATCAACATTGTTGTTGGTTGGACGGTTGTGTTGCTTGTGAGACTTTTGCTTGTTCTTCTGGCTGATGATTGCACTATTTCTGCATCTCCAGATACATGTCAGTAGTTAAAACAGAAAAGCAAGTGCTTACTTTGCATAATATTGCTTGCGGTAAGAATGAGCAGCCTCAATTTTATCTTGTGATGTGTGATATAGCCAAGGTCAACCCATGTTGTAGTAGTAACTAAGTTTAGAACAAGTTAAAGTAGCTGTTGTTGTTATGACTTGGATGGTATCTGTTGGCGACGCTCAAACAGAGCGTGTTTCGTCAACGGTCGAGGACGTCCTTGGGCTAGGCCAAGGTTAGGGGTCTTACTTGGCGAGGATTCGGCAAGTAAGATTTGATGCCTATGTCCGAATCGGGTAGCTTACGTCAAGCGGGTGCTAGATGATGAGCTGTATCTGCCAAGGCTTACGACACCCGAAGGTTAATCGTAAGATCGACATTAATTAGAAGGACGGAAGTCCAACTAGTTAACAGGGGCTTTGCTTGTCGACGAAGTCGATGAGCAAAGATCGAGACTATAGGCTTATCCGCGAAGAGCAGATAAGAAGATAGAATATAGACTGCTGGCAAGGCAGAAAGGATCACTCTGGTGAGAGTAGGAGGTCAAGAACCAAGTAGATTCAAGTTAGGGAATATAGTACATGGTAGCGAGTTTATATAGAGGGCAGGAGACGTATTAGTGGGTGATAATTCGTACTACCAAGTGAGGCAATCGGTAAAGGGCATGACCATAAAAGGAAAGCACGTTCGCGTTGAGACACGGGTGAGGCAGAACGTGCTGGATAAGAAAGTGAGTCAAAGGTCGAAATAAGAAGTGAAACACGCAGGGGCACAATCGTGCAACTGCGGAGCTATCTATAAGTTGCATGTGCGACTGCGCACTGAGTCAGAGATCAAGAAAGGAAAAAAGGGCAAAGGGGATGCGTCGTGCATCGTATCATAGGTTACCGTCCAGACAGTAAGGGCAAGGGGACTGTCCACAGGATCAGTCAGGTGGTGGAACGGAGCATGGGTATGCTTTGTCAGCGAAAGGATCCGGCCAGATGTACTGGCTCTGCTGAAGCGACAGGTAGAGGGCGAAAGGGAATGCGAGGATGACAAGGATGACCAGGGTAAGGTTGGGGTAAGGGTATGATGCAAGGGCTGATACGAGGAGGATTAGGAGAAAAATGGTAGGGGCCCAAGCGTCTAGATGTTCTTGTAACAGTTGTGTTGACTTTGGGAGATTTGCTACTAATTGCTTGATATCCAATGATCACCAATCATGTCTCGCTCAAAATCAATGATA